GGTTATGTTTATTGGCCTTGCAAGCCAACCGTCGTATTGCTCATACTCATCACGACCATTGTATCGGCAGTAAGTGTTTTGAATATCTCGGCCGCTTTCGTGATTGCAAGGATTTCTGCTTGAAAACGCTACAAAGATTGTTAAGTTTATATAAGTTGTAGATTTCCAGTGCCTTTCTCTATCTTTGACCCGTCTGTGAAAAATGTAATGGCAGAGGTAAGAAGTCACTAGTCCAGTATTCCCTACTAGGAAAACCTACTCTGATGTCATTAAAGTCTCTATGAGGGGGAATATAGTGACTAATGTGATTACTTCTCCTCAAGAAATCACAACCTGGCTTTGTGTTGAGAATACTAACGTAACTAACATAGTTCAGCATCCGTTTCTCGGAGCCTCATGGTACATCTAGCAGCCTGGAATTTAATCCAGTGGTTGGAGATTCAAGATCGCATTCAAGGCTGCCTGCGGTGTGCTTAGCGCCGGTAGTCGGTGAGAGAACAATCGCTATCAATGACCGAACAGGGAATTTTTAAAGAGAAGATGAAACAGGAGTGGATTGAAAAATAATATTCATTTAGAGGACCAGCACGTTTTTGAAGAGTATTAGTCCACGGACCAAACAGGATTTTGAAATTTTATCCAGTGTTAGGTAATAACCCTAATCCAAAACAGATGTAGCCGCGAATGACACCAGTTTGGTCGCTTGATTAAAGTATACAATTTATTGTTCATTATTAGCAAGTTATTTTCCAAAACGATTGTCAATCGGGTTTTGAACGAAGGTTTCATTAAATTAAATACATATTTTTGCTTCTACCTGGAAAATATGGGAGACTTTAAACATTTTTATAATAAAAGAAATTTGTAATTTACCATGAAGTTTTTGCTAATTTGGCTATGCATTGCTACTTGTTACCCCGTATTTTTTGGCATAATCTACCAATTTCATATACTGACCGTTACATTTTCAATCAACCACATTTTTAGTAGCAGCAATTACCCGCATTTTTACAAGCCAACATATGAAGGCGGTTTAAATAACGCCCTATATATTATGGACTACCAGTGTCTTAGAAATTTTTTTCAACTGAATAACATCCATTTTCGATGGGTTTTAACTAGCTTTTATGATCCTCGATTACATCCTTCCCTGTGTTTATTCTGTCCTATTTTTTGTTCCTATTGGTTCATAATTTCTAGATAAAAAAATAATTTTTTAATTAAGTGTATTAAATTAAGAAATAAAAGAAATTCCACATTACTTTCTACGCTATTACCATCCATATCACACAATTCCATTTCAGTAGTGAAAACCACGTTTTTAACGGTTTTACAATGAATCATTAATTAAATCCCTCTAATAATAACAAGAGATCAACGATCAGAGCGAGAGACAGAGAAATAAATACATCACATGCATGCACACCACACGTATCACTGCCAAGTCAGGTAAACAATCAACACTGAGAGATGCAAAGGTAACAAAACAAAACCTGTTATCTGTCTATCCTGCACCAGTGCCTTTCTCTATCTAAATAATATTTAGTTTTTTAAAGGACCGGCGCTTTTTTTTTTTTTTTTTTTTGAAGAGTATTAGTCCACGGACCAAACAGGATTTTGAAATTTTATCCAGTGTTAGGTAATATAACCCTAATCCAAAACAGATGTAGCCACAAATGACACCAGTTTGGTCGCTTGATTAAAACTATACAATTTATTGTTCATTATTAGCAAGTTATTTGCCAAAACGATTGTCAATCGGGTTTTGAACAAAGGTTCATTAGAATTAAATACATATTTTTGCTTCTACCTGGAAAATATGGGAGACTTTAAACATTTTTATAATAAAAGAAATTTGTAATTTACCATGAAGTTTTTGCTAATTTGGCTATGCATTGCTACTTGTACCCGTATTTTTTGGCATAATCTACCAATTTCATATACTGACCGTTACATTTTCAATCAACCACATTTTTAGTAGCAGCAATTACCCGCATTTTTACAAGCCAACATATGAAGGCGGTTTAAATAACACCCTATATACTATGGACTACCAGTGTCTTAGAAATTTTTTTCAACTGAATAACATCCATTTTCGATGGGTTTTAACTAGCTTTTATGATCCTCGATTACATCCTTCCCTGTGTTTATTCTCCTATTTTTGTTCCTATTGGTTCATAATTTCTAGATAAAAAAATAATTTTTTAATTAAGTGTATTAAATTAAGAAATAAAAGAAATTCCACATTACTTTCTACGCTATTACCATCCATATCACACAATTCCATTTCAGTAGTGAAAACCACGTTTTTAACGGTTTTACAATGAATCATTAATTAAATCCCTCTAATAATAACAAGAGATCAACGATCAGAGCGAGAGAGACAGAGAAATAAATACATCACATGCATGCACACCACACGTATCACTGCCAAGTCAGGTAAACAATCAACACTGAGAGATGCAAAGGTAACAAAACAAAACCTGTTATCTGTCTCTCTTTTGACAAACACTGCTGCTGCAACAAGAAAAAACATGAATTTTATGTGACGTCTTTGTTGTTGTTGCTGCTGCGTCTGTAGTATTCCGTTTATTCCGGCAAAAAACAGAAAGAAAAATGGAACACGATTTTAAATAAACAAACAACAACAAATATACACTACAACTACTCTCACACACACATATAGCAAGTGTATATATTATTTTTTTCTAACAAAAAACTAATAAGCAACTCGGCAACATGACTGACTTGTGCTGCTCTTCTTCTTCTTTCGATAATCGTCGTAACATCAACGCCGTTTACTTTAAATAAATTCTATAACTGCGGAAAATCGATTAATATTCTAAAAGAAATTTCTGGTTCTTTTTGTTACAAACATATGGATGTTTGAAAAAATAACACACAATAAAAATCAAGATAACATTTCATTGAGCCCCAAAAACATATTGCAGACCATTCCTCCTCCGCCATCGCCTCTTTATATATTACGTATGGTAGATAAAATATAAAAAAATGGGCAGCCCAACAAAAATATATTTTTTATATTGTAACCATTTTTTGCAACCTTATGAATGAGTTTGCTTTTCTAAATTCTTGTTACTCTCGCGCAAACACACACAACCACTCATATTTGACATAATTGCACTATATATGTACATTGTACATATATATACACACATCTACACCACTTGAATCACCACTTCTTTTTTCTCCTCATAATACACCCATCTAAAAGCGGGCCTTTTTTCATTTTGCTCACCGTAAAAATTGTCATTATCCACATCCATTTTTCTTATTGTTGTTTTGTTATCTATTAGTTATGGTGAACTGCCTGGCCACACATCAAGTTATTTGGATTTTTTGTGACATTCCTTTTGGACTCAGTTTGAATGCTTGATTCACAAGCCATTATCCCATTTGTACTATCAAATTGTACATATGTGAATACTGTACATGTCGTGAGGCCATTATGAAATTTTGCATCTGTTAAAATGATATGACAAGGCCTATATAAGGTCGGCCAGTAAGCACAGGTGGGTATAAAGTTTGCTGTCAAATCATATTTTGAAACATATACATACATACAAAATTATGTCAGACGTCAAAACGAATATATTAATATTTTATCACAGTATGAAAAAAAAATTGTATTTTATAAGTTGATATGGCCTACCTTGAATAATTGTACATAATTTTTGTACATAAATTTTGTCGCCTATGGAACTGACAATTTATATCGAGTTGATTTCGTAATAATTACCCAGTATATAATTACCCATTTTAATAAAACACGTCTTTTATTTGATGTCTAATAAATTAATTTGATAATCCAAATGGCGCCTTTTATTAAAAATATGTAATTTTCTTTTGACTTGTCCTTGTGTCCCCCCTTCCAACAGGGTTGTATTTCATATAACAAATAATGCGAAGACGTTTATTAACGGCGTTCATTGCCAAAACATGGCAATGTAATATTCATGGTCGATAAATCGATTAGTCGAAAGTCGATTTATTTATCCCTATTCCTAATGGCGATTATAAAGTGGATTATTTTTATTTTCATTATTTGTATAATCAATATAAAATATGTAAAAGGTATATAAACAAAAATGCAAGTGATGGAAAATATTAAGCAACAACAATAAAATGAAATAAAATAAAATTTCCCTGGAATATAAATAAATTGTGGGCAAAGGAAAAATCAGTGTTCTTTTTTTCATTCTCCTCCGATTCACACAAATTGTTTTTTGTTGGTGTGGTGTATGTGTGGTGTCTGTCGTCTCGCGTTTATGTGTGTATATTGTTTGTGTTCTAAAACAGACCGTAAAAATGCAGCAATTATTATCATAGAATTTGGAAATTGAACTTCGTAATTATTGATGTTTGAAAACAATTATATGTGACCTATGTGATATGATATTTAGTCGTAATTTGTTGTATTTAAAAATATTCGATCTCTCGTTAAAGGTGAAATAAGTGGCCGCTTATTGGACGAGCATCAAGAAAATATGGATAGAGAAACGGCAGCTGAAGTACTACAACAACAACATCATGCAGTAAACAGTAAAGAATTTCCAATTGTGCCTGCACAAAATTCAATACAGCCACCACATCCAAGGTAAGTGGCGGCGGAGTGATTTTTTCCATTATTATTTCGGTATAGCCGGGATATCAGTCAAAAAAAGCTAAATGATTATTGCTAAAAAATCTCTTAATATTTTTGCATTTTTTATTGCTATATATTTCCCCTTTCTATCCGTATTAAAAAAATATGAAACTATAATTACAACCTACGCTAAAAAAAAACAAAACCTATGTAGGAGACATTCAAAGGCCAAAAGACGCATGAAAAGAAGGTAACCCACATTGCAAATTTCTTGTGGACCATATATTGTTTTCCGTTCCATTTGGTCGTGATTTGTTATGATTTTTTACAGAAGTGGTGTTTTCTTTTTTTGTTGTTCTTTTTATTATTGTTTATCAACAATATGATGGATATTCTTTTGGTTCTTATACATTCATATCCTAATTGAATTTTTGTTTATTCCCATGTACCTATTCGTTTAATTTTTTAAAAAATATTTTAATACCATTTTAACTATTTACAGATTTAAATGTTTATCATGCGATGCACCATGTCACAATGCAACCCAACATGCCCACATGTGCCAGAATGCTATACAGGTTTGTTAAATCCGATCACACGCTTCAATCAACCTTTTTTTATCTTATCTATTTGATTGTGTTTTGATAGTGTTACAAATCCCGTATACGTGATTCTTTTGGCGAGGAAAGGGTTAATCGTGGTTGTATTATGTCTCCCGAACAAATTCCCCTTTATTGTAATCACAATTTGGGTAATAATTTTGGTGGACCACGTAAACGTAATACACAGACTTTCATCAATTTGGAATGCTGCACGGGAGACTATTGTAATGATGGTGATTTTCCAGAGCTACCGCCACCAATCGATGGTAAGATAAATAATTTAATTTTTAATTTATTTACATACTATCGAATATCTATATTAGAAAATGCAGGGGAACAGAGTATTTAGCAAGAGTTTCAAAAAAAAAAAAAAAAAAATCGCGGGACCGGAAAAAATCGAAAGTCGACGACATCTCTAGAGTTGAACATAGTTCCTTCTCAACAACGAAACCTGCTCTAATCTACAGCATAATTAGAAACCTAAAGTGGTTGGGAAAGTGCAACTTTGAGACATAATATATCTTTTGATCTCTATAGTCATCGATACTATCTCATACTTTCCTTCTCACACTTGAATGCAATACACAAATTCTTAAAAAAGGGATATTGGGGTATACCGTTATATAGGGGAACCTTTGGAAATTTGTCACTCAATGACCCGTTATATAGGGGCTACTCCGAAACTTGTATTAATATTTTTATTACACGTTCCTATTTACAGAAGTAACCCAACTAAATGCGGACACCAGCAACATTATGAAAATGACATTTGCTATATTGGGACCCTTTGTGATTATTTCGATATTGGCCTATGTTGCATTTTATTTCATACGACGTAATCATCGTAAACGTTTAGAGTATTCCAGAACCAAACAGGATCCCGATTCGTATTTGGTCAATGATGAATTGCTGCGTGTTACCAGTGCCGGTGATAGTACACTGAGGGTAATATAAAAATTTATATATTTGTTGAATATATGATTTATAAATTATTATTTTTTTTAATTTTTAGGAATATTTACAACATTCAGTAACATCGGGTTCAGGTTCCGGCATGCCATTGCTAATACAACGGACACTGGCAAAACAAGTTACTCTTGTGGAATGTATTGGTCGTGGTAAATATGGTGAAGTGTGGAGGGGTCATTGGCATGGTGAAAATATTGCTGTTAAAATCTTCTTCAGTCGTGACGAAGAATCATGGAAACGTGAAACTGAAATTTATAGGTACGAATACAGCAATATTTTCTTCAATTCTTTATTAATCTAAATGTTTTTGTTTACTCTTGTTTTTTTGTAGTACCGTTCTTTTGCGTCATGAAAACATTTTGGGTTTCATTGGCTCCGATATGACATCAAGGAATTCTTGTACACAATTATGGTTATTGACCCATTATTATCCCCATGGCTCGTTATTTGATCATTTGAACCGTAATGCCTTAAGTCATCGTGATATGATTTTAATATGCCTTTCCATTGCCAATGGTCTGGTACATTTGCACACTGAAATATTTGGCACCGAGGTAAATGATCTCTTCTTTTTTTTTAAACCGATAAGAATTTTTTATTAATCTACGTATATATTTTTATACTTTACAGGGTAAACCTGCTATGGCTCATCGTGATTTAAAATCAAAAAATATTTTGGTCAAACCAAATGGTACATGTGTTATTGCTGATTTTGGCCTAGCCGTTATGCACTCGAATGTTACGGGAAAATTAGATTTGGGTAATAATCCAAAAGTTGGTACAAAACGTTATATGGCACCTGAGGTATTGGATGAGAGGTGAGAATCAAAAAAAAAAAAAAAAACTGAAATACAATCGACTGTCGATAATTTAAAATTTAAGGGACCAGGGAAAGGATTTAAAGACTTTTCAATAACTAACTACTTAAAATAACTAACATATTTTAAATTATCGAGTTTCGACTGCATTTTTTGTAAAATGTATTATTTTATAGTATTTGTTTTATGCTTTATTTATATTTTATTACTTTAAATTTTATTTCCAGCATTGATATGCACAACTTTGAGGCTTTAAGACGTACCGATATATATGCCCTAGGTTTAGTTATATGGGAGGTATGCCGACGTACAATATCGTGTGGTATTGCTGAAGAATATAAAGTACCCTTTTACGATGTGGTACCATCCGATCCAAGCTTTGAAGATATGCGTAAAGTTGTATGTGTGGATAATTATCGACCGTCCATACCAAATCGATGGAGTTCAGATCCGGTAAGTTTTGTATACATTATTAGCACATATATAAAAATTTGGAGTAGACTACATAATATATACTTCTGAAGCATAGTCTGACATCCTTCGTAATTATATATTACCTCCATGGCCATATATATATATATATATATATATATATTTTCATAGGTCGCATTAGACGTGAATCTTTTAAAAACTCATAAACCGCATCAGGATTTTTTTTAAATATAAGTTCTTCGCCGTGGATTTTTTAAAAATACTATTTTCATATCCCTTGATTAAAAAAATATATATATTTACTCTTGGTCCAAAGGTGACAGATAAGTCTTGTACTAAATGTGATACCATTTGTATTTGGCGAACCGGTAGAGCTAGAACTCTTAAATTTTAAATGAGGGTCACTGATGGAGTGTAGAATATATATAGCAAAGAGTTTTTTCGACATTCGAACTATATGTATGCCAAAAGTACTAAAATGTACTAAATTTGGTACAATTTCGTAGCATGTGAATGAACAGAGCTAAAAACTTGAAATCTAGAATGCGAGTAGGGGTTAAGATGTAGGGTTTATTTAAGGAGATTGTTCTGAAAGCGTGTACTCATGGGTACGAAAAGTACTATATGGTACAAATTTAATTTGGTGATACAAATCGAGCTGGATTCCTGGAATTTTAAAAAAACATTACCGTCGGAGTGTAGAATTGGAATATGAACGTATTTTTGGAAATTTGTTACTTATGTATACGAAAAGTACTAAATCGTACTATAATCGATACAGTTTGGATTTTGGTGAACCGATAGAGCGAGTACAATGAAATTTGGAGTCAGGATCACTGTAGGGGGGTATGTGATTGGGGTCAGGAATCCTGACTCAGGATTCAGTTTAAGAAATTAATATTTATGGGTACTAAATTTGGTACAATTTGAATTTTAGGTGAACCGATAGAGCTAGAATCATGAAATTTAGAGTCAGGATCACTGTTGAGGTGTAAGATTGAGATATGTAAAAGTTTTAGAAATTTGTACTAATGTGTACTAAATTTGGTACAATTTGAATTGTGAGTTAACCGATAGAGTTGGAATCCTGAAACTTGTATTTGGGATCATTGTGGGGGTGTAAGGATGGGGTATGTAGGAGGTTTTAGAAAATCGTACTACAGTGTACTAAATTTGGTATAATTTGAATTGCAAGTGAACCAATTGAGTTGAAATCCTGAAACTTGGATTTAGGGTCAATATGGGAGTGTAGGTTTGTTGTAAGAAGGAGGTTTTAGAAATTCGTACTACTGTGTACTAAATTTGGTACAATTTGAATTGTGTGTGAACCAATAGAGTTGGAATCCTGAAACTTGTTTTGGAAATTGGTACTGTGTACTAAATTTGGTACAATTTGAATTGTGGGTGAACCGATGGCGTTGGAATCATGAAACTTGGATTTAGAATCGCTGTTATGGTGTAAGATTGAGATATGTAGGAAGTTTTAAAAATTTGTACTAATGTGTACTAAATTTAGTACAATTTGAATTGCAGGCGAAATTTGGTATTAAATGGTACACAAATTCAATTTATGATCAATATTAATGTGTGGATTGTTTAGTTTTTCTGACATATGCAGTTTTCTGTGAAAATAAAATAATATGTTAATACATGTTTAAATATTACCCACATTCGCTAATGAAGTAGCGGGCATATGCTAGTTCTTAATAAATCTACACCTAAGAAAAATATATAGAAATAAACGTAGATTAAAAAAATATATTTTCTTAAGCGTGGATTTTTTATAAATATTTTTTAGTTAAACGCGGATTTTTAAAAAACATATTTTTTCTTAGGTTTGAATTAAAAAAAAAAAAAATATTTTTTACATAGGCGAGGATTAAAAAAAATATGTTCCTTGAGAGTGGTGGTCACGTAATGAAAACATTAACTGTGGTAACAAATTGTTGATCAGCCCTCCAATCGTTGGACGTTTTTTTAATCACTTTTTTAATTCAGAACAATTAGATATACTGCACTTAAAAATTTAGTGTGGAAATAGAAAAATGCTGCTGTGCGTCAGAAACTTTTACATATTCGTTTATCTCTGTGGGGTTATAAAAAACATTTATGGACTCCATTAGACGCGAAGGCTCTAGAGAAAATTTTCATCAATTTCACAAAATAATTGTTTATCTTTTTCATTTTATTTTTTTCAGCTTTTGGCAGGTATGTCCAAACTAATGAAAGAATGCTGGCATCAAAATCCCAATGTACGACTACCGGCTTTGCGTATAAAAAAGACTATTAGCAAACTGGCTTCCGCAGATGAAAAATTGCGTCTTGACTATGATGAAGTTTGTGTTTGAGATTCAAATGCTAAACCTACAAACCATAAGGTTTACAAAAATACACACACACATATTTATGTTTGTAAGTTGTATCTATATGCATAGAGTTATCAGTTTGTAAAATAGAAAATCATCATTCATTTGTCGTTTAAGACAAATTTAAGAATACGAAAAAAAACAAAAACATTTTCAAACTCTTAAGGAAATCACACAAACAAACAAATGCAATTTTATCATAAGTACTACACACACATACATATACATTTTTTTGAAGTGTAATATTTAAATAATAATAATAATAACGTTTTATACTGTTATATAGTTTACACTCAATTAGGATATACTTTTTTTAAAAGTATTAAAGAAAAATTGAAATGAAGAAAAAATGAGTATAATCAGGTTATTATACGCAAATATGTTTAAGATACACAAGAAAAACAAATACAGTTTCTAAAATGGAAAACACTTAAAATGGCATCTAGAGCTAATGCTGACAATATTGGTGCCAATATTGCCTCTTTTTTATTTTATCATCATGTTTTGCCTTACTCGGAAACTAATAATAATTGGCCTTCTTTATACAAAAACAAAATACTATTAAAAAAGTAAATAGTGCCTTTACTTTTTAAAGCTTATACAAAAAAAACGAACACAACACACATATATGCCTTACAAATTTTGTAAAAAAAAAAACGAAAACTGAAATATGTAGCCAACAATTTTTTTTTTTGCTGTCTTAGACCATAGTCATTATTATTTTATTTTGTTGCAGCTTTATTCCATTACTTCCATTTATATTTACTTTATTTACACTACATACATACACTAATTCCTCATGTGCCATCACCATTTTCAAAAATCCAATTTCATTGAGTTGTGATCAATAACACAGCATTTTTTCATTTTGCATATTACCACCCCATTATAATTTTCAACATATAGAATTATATATATATGTATTAAATAGAAATATATGTATAGACATATATCAACCAAAATACATATTTGATACATTTGATATAGAACTACTAATTTAAAAATAATAAGAATTGACAAATGTATTCATAACTACTTCTGTACAAAGAAAATTTATTTTTATTATTTTATTTTTCAATACAAATAATGTTAATAATAGTAATACGAAAAAAACAAATTAGTATATAATTCAATTTAGTATTAAATATAAGAAACTAAAAATTATATATACAATTTTTTTTTAGATTAGTAATACTAAAAATTAATAATAATGATGATAATAACAACAATAAAATACATTAGTTGTAATGAGTTAATAAGATAATGAGCCAAAAAAGTGTTTTAATTTGATTTAAATTTTTTGGCCATGGGAATTATGGGCGATATAAAAATAACGAATATTGGAGGGTACAATGAAACTTGGGTCAATATTAATAATTTTTGGTACGGATATTTGTCACCCTATGAAAACCCAAAGTACCAAATAACAGCTAATTTGTTCGGAAAAACGTGCCCAAAATCCTAAAAATGCCGAATATTTGAGGGTAAGTTTATATGGGGGCTACCATGAAACTTGGGTCAATATTAATAATTTTTGGTACGGAGATTTTTCATTCAATGAGAACTAAAAATAACAAATTACAACCAATTCGGTTGAAAAACGTGTCCAAAATCCCAAAAACATCGAATATTTTGGGGTACCATTATATGGGGGCTACCCTGAAACTTGGATCAATATTAATGATTTTTGGTACGGAGATGTGTCACCAAATGAGAACCCAAAATACCAAATAACAGTCAATTTGGTTGGATAAAATGCCCAAAATCCTAAAATTATCGAATATTTGGGGTACTATATTATGGGGTCTATCCTGAAACTTGGGTCAATATTAATAATTTTAATAAATTTAGGTACCAATTTGGTTGAAAAGTGTGCCCAAAATCCTAAAAATACCGAATATTTGAGGGTACTCAAAATTAATAATTTTTGGAACGGAGATTTGTCACCCAATCCGAACCCTAAATATCAAATAACAGCCAATATGGTTGTAAAAAAGGCCCTAAATAAAAAAAGAATATTTGAGGGTACCATCATTTGGGATATATTCTCAAACTTTGGTCGATATTACCAGTTTTTGGTACGGGGATGTTTTATACAATGAGAACCCAAAATACCAAATTACAGCCAATTTGATTGGAAAAAATGCCCAAAATACAAAAATATGGAATATTGGGGGGTACCTTGATATGGGGGCTCCCTTTAACATGAGACGAATATTGAGGGTAGACTTAAATGGGTTCAAATAAAAGAAAATTTGGTTGGAAAAAAAATGCCCAAAATCCTATATATAAATCCTATTGGGGGTACTATTATATGGGGGCTACCCTGAAACTTGGGTAGAAAAATTAAGTAAAAATCCTCAATTAAAAAAAATCAAATATTTTTCCCTTCCTTTACAATTTTTGTCCACAAAAAATAACAACAACATATTTTAATTTTTTGTAATTTTTTTTATTAAAAAAACATATGGTTCCATTTCTCTTGGAGATGTTTTTTTTTTTTGTTTGTTTTGTTTCCTTCGAGCAGACAATACACATAAAATACTCGTATCATGAAAGTCTTTAGCCAGCCAGTATCTTGTGTTTACTTTTTAATATTTAATATTTACCTTAGATTACTTTTGTTTATGCAATTAAAGAAAATTAAATAAAATTTAACAACAAAAATATTAAATATTTTTTCCATTCATTCAATATATATATATATACCAATTTTGTTTTTGTTTTTTCTAGAAATTATTTAAATCCGTTAAAATAATGGTTGGAGAAGGAGGAAGGTTATGAGGAATGAAGGAGAAGGATGAAAATCAACTTTTTGTGGTTAATGAAGTTAGGATTATGGGTGGGTATGTTCTGAAATATAAGCAACTCACATTTTGTTTGAAATCAAATCAACCCGGAAAAAAATAATGAAATATTGGTGTATACAGGATAATTGATATTCGTAATATTTATTTTGCAATCTTTGGATAGAAAAATCCTTTTAGGGTTTTGAAAAAAATAGTTTAGTAAAATAATAAAAAAATGGATCAATGAATGCTGTGTGTTTTTGTGTTTCTTTTTTGTTCTTTCCTATTTTCAGAACATACAATTTCGATCGTTTGAATATTTTTTTGTTGGTAATAATTAAATTAACGTTCTTTTTTTTTTTTTTTGTTACTAGATTTCGTAGTTTACATTCACTTTTTGTTTAAAGAAAGTTATTCAAAAATTGTTGTTGGTTTGTTTGTTTGTTTTGAGGGACAATGACGACGACTAAAATGTCGCCCAAAAATATTTTCGTATATTTGTTTTATATTTTTATTTGAGTTTACTTAAGCCACATAATTATATTGATTTTGATTATCCTTATCGCGTTCCATATAGTCACGATCGATAAGCGATTCAATACGTTTTTTAAGATCAGCAGGCTGTAAAACATGAAAGAAAAGAAATTGTATTAATTAAAAAAATATAGGCATTCAAATAAAAAAAATTATTTTGAATTTAAAAAAAAAATAAAAAATAGTTTTCAAAAGCCTAGAAAAAAATGTAGTTTAACGAATCGACGTTTATATCTCTGGATTATACTTATATGAATACTATGAATACTGTCGTTAATTATACGCACCCCATATTTGTAATATTTTTTTTTTTTTTAGTTTTATTGTTTATCATTATATAAAAAAAATTCTACTATGAAAAAGTACCGAAAAAGAAAACCAAACCCCCTAATGTTGACGACCTTCACAAACGTATAAAGGACCACGATTTGCGAATCTGCACGTTGTTCCATAAGACGAGCTTAAAAACGATTTCCAGACGCGTCTGTCTTTTGCGTAGTTTTTCCAATTTGAAAGACCATATTCGGCAATGCAGGATATTCATGATCTTTTCATATTATTCGTAGACTTCCCCTTCTGCGTAAACCATAAACTGGTTCGGTTATATATGCCTTTTGGGCAGGGGCATCTTCATCTATTCTCACAACATGACCTAGCCAGTCTCTGCAGCTCAATACTTCATATAATGACGAAGTCCGAGAATAGCTGGTACAGCTCATGGTTCATTCGACGGTGATATTCACCGTCAACGCAGATCGGCCCATAGGGAGAATTTTTCCCTCAAACACTCCAAGAGCTGCCTCATCTGCTTGCGTAAGTACCCATGCTTCAGATAGGGTAGTAACAGCGTCTTGTAGATTGTAAGTTTGGTCTGGCGGGAGGTAGCCTTGTTTCTAAACTGCTTACTTAGACCATAGTAGCATTTGTTGGCCCACATGGCTTTAAACACATCTGAACGGATAGGGCTGTCGAATGCGGCTTTAGTCGACGAATAGTTGGAATGTGTTGATGTGTGTTTTTCGTGGGTTTTTCCAGAATCTGGACAATGGTTGATTTGACAGGTTTGAAGCCGCATTGGTATGGTCCAATAATGTCATTGGCCATTGGTTTCAGTCGTTCACACAGCAGGATGGAAAGTAGACTGCGATGGGAAGGAGACTATAGTTGGCACATATCGTCTTGTCTCCTTTTTTGTTCACAGGACACAGGATGCTGAGTTTCCAGATCCTCAGCACGCTATAATCCGTATAAAAGCGAAGTTCTTCTACATCAGTCTTAGGAGACAAAGATGAACGGACCAAAGACATATTTTACCACCTCCCAGAAACAGCATATGACCAGATTCAAGCATCTCGACATACACAAGGCTACTTGGATTTCTCCTGATCAAACAACGAAAAATCGAAAGGCATTCGTACAATATTTTAAACGTTCGATCGATACGAGGAGCGAATATCGATTCGGACCACTACTATGTGCAGCCAAGGTTCGCACCCGTCCTAATGTAGCAGCAAAGGTGCGAGCACATCACAGAAACTCGACGTCGAAAAGCTGCAAACACAACAGGCAGAAGAAGCCTACTCCGCTCAACTTACCCACCTGCACCTGACGAAAGCACTCCTTGTCCCGATAATAATATAGAAGCACAATGGCAAAGAATTGCCCAGTCCCTACAAATTGTCGCAAAAACAATCTTGGGTACCAAAAACCACCATAAAGAAACCCGTGGTACGATCAGGAGTGTCGTAATGCTACTGGGGCGAAAAACGCAGCATATAGGACAACCCTGCAAACAGTAGGCCAAACACTCAATGCAACAGAAAATTATCGGGAGCAAAGGAGAGAGGAAAAACACCACACTTTCCAAAATTGCAGGAGGATGTTGGTCCTACTCCAACATTTATTGCATTTGTAGCCATTTATGGTTTCGTCATCTGTTGACGTCCGATGACGAAACCGAAAGATCTATGGGTGTCGACGGTGAATATCGCATTCGAATGAACCATGAGCTGCACATCGAGTCAGACTATCAAGCTGCAGCGACTACGTTGGCAAGATCATGTTGTGAGAATGGATGAGGATGTCTCAGCTTAAAAGGCATATAAAAGCGAGCCAGCGGATGGGGTCTTTTACGTGGGTTTTTTAGTAGCGGGTTGTTGTTCCTCCGAGGACCGTCTTCGTGGATGCTGGTGCCTGAGACGTCTCAGTACTCAGTTTACCCTTGGAAGGTTCTGAGGGCTTAGATTTCTCAGGCACCAGCTTCTAGGATTTCCAACAGTTTTCTCCTTCTTTGAAGGGACTACCGGGGTGGTATTCGCACTGGGTCTAGGAATCCTTTCAATCAAGAAGTCCCTCGCAATATCGTTCGGATAGTTTCTGGAGAACTGGAGAACGCATGAGGTAAATTTGATCAAAAGGAACTCCTTTTCCGTGATGGAGTCAATATCTCGTCCGATGAATCGGTTGCAATAGTTAACCGCTCTCCGGTACATCTTCTTGGCAGCGATCTCCTTAGCGTTGAATTGTCTTGCAGTTTCTGTTGCCGGTTTCCGCTAATAAATTGAGGAGAAGATCCGTCTGCCTCTCCAGACTTTCGTTCACGTCGTCGAGAGTAACAGGATTTGATTCAAAAGAGAGGTCCAGGGGATTAGCTTGGGTTTCATTGAAGTCTGACCTTGTAGAGCTCGAGACTAAGGGTGCCAAGGCAGCCTGGGTTAATACAATTCGGCTCCATAGAAAGTGCTTTTGGTGAGGGAATGAAGTCGACCATGGCATAGCCTCTTACTATGGTAAGGATTGGGCAACTAAGCCTGAATAAACTTGTTGAGGCGCCCAGGAACGCTGATGGACACCATAGAACGCTGATGAGCACCTAGTGCTCATCAACTTGAGATGGTTATTTAGGTGCGCCATTCTCGCCTCATCAGTTCAGGGATCATATGCACTCGGTCAATTCCTCCGAGACTCTCCCCCTGAGCCCACTGATTGTCCGTGACTGTATATAATTTTGAATAGTATTGGGTTTCCCACTATCCGCAACCTGTGGACGCGTCCCTTAGCATTCAGTTCTGGTCCCCGAAGGCGAGGAGCAGAATTGAATTTTTCTTTATGGATATTGGATTATAATTTTATAGAAAATGTTTTCGATCTGAAGGGGCGTCAATTTTTTTCTTATTGATTATTTTCCGGTTTTTTAATATTTTTAAAATCGTCAAAGCAAAAACAATTCTTCATAAATATAAGATTAAAAGCAGTTTCACTCACCTTAACAGGAAACGTTAATTGATTAAATAGTTCCGTAATAAGCAGATTATGTGACAAAGTTTTACGCATCTTCATAATTCGAACAATAGCCGCATCAATTTGATACTGACGATCTTGAAATACTCTTTCCTCGGTTGCTTTTTGTTCTTCCGTCTATAACCCAAGAAAATAATGAAGTAATTCCAATTTTAATTATAGTTGGGTATAATCATTTAAATAATATTTAGAAATATTTATATTTTTTTTAATAAATTAAAAAATGTATGTATGAAAACCCATACCGTTTCCTTCATTTGTATTTGATTGATTTTGATGCGGAATAGTTTATTGGTAAATTCATTATTATAATGGAATTGATCCTTGTCTTCCACTTCACGGCCTTTTGGTTCTTTCGTTATAACACGGGCACGACCACATGCCAATGATTGTAATATACGCCGTAATTCACCACTCTAGAAATACAACAACAAAAATGAAAACAAAAAACCATTACATTTACAATTAAAAATATATTTGCTAACAAGCATACCTCAATATTTGTAGCGGCTAGAATCTCCTCAAACGAAAGGGTATCCCTATCGTTGAACAATAACAACACCAATCCTTGGAACAATGACACCATGAGCTCTTTGTGACCCTAATATAATAGAAAACAAATATTAATTATTAATTTAACAAATGACAATTTTATGTTAGAGAACATTTCAAACTTACGGCATCGAATCTGGCCTTTAGTACACAATGACCCAATGTGGGCTGCCATTGTAATTTACGTCCACTATGTTTGGCCAAATAGAATTTATTGAATACCTGTTGCGGATTCACCAATTGCGGTGGCATATTCACCTCCGTCAATGGATATGTCGGCCAATAGCCCATTGTTAAGATATTAACGGTTAAATCGATGCTGGTAAATTCACCTTCCATATTGGCAACATATTGTTTGAAAGCGATATTTATATCACGACTTAATTCCATATCTTTGAACATGCCTTCCAATTTTGATGTAAACCCACCGCCACATTCTTGTTTGAGTTTGGACAGCATACTTTTTTCAGCATCCACCGATGCAGATTTGCCAAGCAATAATCGTTTGGATAGATCCTAGAAAAAATGGAAAGGGAAACAAGACACACAAATTAAAAATACATTCTATGCAAACATTTGCAAAAGATAATTTGGCCTGTGTACACACTGCACAGTTCTTTATAAAAGCTAATTGATTTTTAATCATTTCATAGGTCTTATATATACTAATTGTTCGGTGCCATATAGAGATCACAGGTATTTATTTATATTGCATTGAGATCAAAGGTTTTTATAAACACCAATAGAGACCAATGGAGCAATGTTTTTATGTTCCCTTTAGGGTTTGTTTACACAATAGACGACCTAATGATGAGTCCTCAATAGGTCCCAAAAAGTCGTCAATGTATTGTTATTGGTTTCTTAAAATATTTACCTTTTTATAAAACGCTTCGAAAACATCCTTGCCGTGAATAAAACGGAACAAGACCATAATTTTATCGAGCATTTGTTCCAATTCTTCTTCGGTGGCTTCCTTGTTGCCAGCACGTAATTTCATGTCCACATATTTAGCTGCAAAATTAAATTCCAGTTATTCTAAATAATATCCAAAAAATAAAAAATTATTTGCACTTACCAATCAATTCAGCAGGTTTATTAGCACGCTGATTTATAAAGAATTCAAATGCCTCGCGTAATGAATTTGTAAATTTCTCATTACGTTCGAAACATGTGCGAACAATGACATCCATTTTATCTTTGAAATCTAACAAATCTTGTACCATATTTTTATCCTTTTCCGGATCGATGACAATGGTACGACCCTTCTTTTTAATATAACCATTGAAATTTCCACATAGTTCGGCTGTGCCATTTTTGACGCGACTTAATAAACTATATAATAGTGTTAAATCATTCAGTCTATGTTCTTCCATAAGGGTATCTAAGCCTTTTTGTAAGATTTGCGTTAAATGTTCGGCAAGTAATTCTTTTTCGACTGTGTATATTAAAGGATGTCTGGAAGAGAAATATAAAAGGTAAATATTATTAAAAAAAATAAAATAAATGTCTATGAGAGAAATAAATATTATTTTAAAATTCTATTCTTCTATCATTGTTTCTTTTTTACGAACTTACTTCGTCCCCGAGTCCAAATAATGCAGTAAACGTTCATTTTCTTCGGCCAAACGTTTATCGACATGTTGCAAATATTCGGGTACATCCAATTCTTGCATTTTCCTTTGGCCCTCGGCCTGATACAATTGTCTTGTGGCTATTAAGAATTTCTCCTCGAAAGCACTTATATAGATCTGTAGATCACACAGCATGCGTATAAGACTTTTCAAGAGACCACGATCTACCGCATCACCATTACGTTCTTTTTCAATGAGCATTAATAAACCTTCAACGGTACGTTTTTGTACAAGACTATTGAGGGCTATGTGGGTGCGAAATAAATCTAAGCCCATGTCCCTGAAAAATAGAAAACAAGAAATGAATTAAATACAAATCATCACAAGACATATTATCTATGACAATAAAAAAATATCTTAAATTTTTGAAAAGGTCTTTAAGAAAGATCATAGATCTCAGCTCGTAGAATTTAGCCTTCTATTATCATTTACAGCTTTTTTCAAGGAATTCAACAAAAATAATTTTCAATGCACCATCATAAAGGCAAAACAGTCCAAAAAATAAATAAAATAATAGAAATTAATATATTTACCATATAGATTGTACAGTTGGATTTTGTAAAACATATGTACGATCTAAATATAGAAATATGCTACGCATCATAATCATTTGTTGGCAATATGACAGCCACCAATCGTTGATTTTCTTCAAGAAAACCTGTAATGAAAAATCACATATATACATCAAAAGATTCTAAATAACTTGTCTGTTTAATATTTACCAATTTATCCATGCTGCCACCGGTAAACGTTTCCACATTACGTTTAACATGAGCCTCGGTCAAATCTTTTAATTTTGTATAGAGTTGAGCATCCATTTTATGGCTACACATATTTTCAACGGCCTGATATAATTCTTCCAGAGAATATTTTATTGGCCGTGATAGCTGTATGGCCACAACGGCTTCTTCTAATTTTTGACATGTTTTTTCAGAATAGTTTTCGGGCAGTGTAGGTTTAACTGGAATAAAAAAAAACAAAAAATGTGTAATTATATATATATATATATATATATATGTAATTATATATATATATATATAACTAATTACAAGATACAATGGGGTATTATCGATCAATATTCCTATACCTATTTGTCATTACAACAAGTGCCGCATGGGCCTAACATGATGCCATGTTTTACACAACATTAATGTAAATCAGGTGGCATAACATTTCAGGATGGTCTGGCAAAATACACAAATAATTCCGGGTTTTCAGGGAAATATTCTACATACATTTTTCTATGAATTGAGTTTGTATGTTGAAAATGTTAGATCAATTGAGCTTTATTAAATTTTTCGAAGAAAAGTACTTAGCTGAATTGATTTTTCAGTAGTAAACTCGTGACGAATTGATGTAATCTGATAAATATGGAAGCTGAATTAAGGATTCATCTAAAAAAATAGATGAATTAAGGTTTTCTATAGAAAACATAGCGGAATTCAAATATTTTTGTAAAAAATATTACCTGGAACAATATTAGAGCTGAATTAAATTTCTCTACAGAATAATTTAGCTGAATTAATTTTTTCATTAGGAAAACTGAGCTGAATTCAATTTTTCAACAGAAAAAGTAGCTGAATTGCATTTTTTATAGTATAATCTTTCTATGGTATAGTCTTTGAGGGTTTCTGATAAAAATAGTAGCTGAATTGAGGTTTCCTACTAAGAATATGTAGCTGATTTTTTTTGTTTCTATAGAACACATAGGAGAATTCAAATTGCGGTTGAAATTAAAATTTTTTCCAAAAAAAAAAATCTGGATTTTTTTTTATTTTTTTTTTTTTTTTTTGAAAAAATGTTGCTGAAGTTTCATTTTCCAGTATAATCCTAAATTGATGGATGATTAAGAGTACTGTACAAAGAAGAGCCTCACTCAGCCAAGCAAATTTAGCAAACAAAAAAAAAACAAAAAAGGATCCGAATAATATCAATGTCACTCTTCATCTCCCTGCGAAAAAAACTTTTAACATTCCGGAAAGACCATTCAAATACTATACATATCTCAATTCTATTTCTAAATAATTTCTTCTACAATTCAGGAAGGAGGAACGTAGATTTTATACATACCTTTAAAATTTTTTATAACAATTTTTTTAACATCACCCGGCTTTGAAGTATTATTCACTCCCAATTTATTAAAATATGCTGAGGTAGTTGTTGACGAACGATGATCATTTAAATGGGTCGTAGTATCCAACATTGAAAAATTGGCACGACGTTCCCCGTTGGTACCAATTGTTGCTCCATTATTGGAGCTATTTATGTTTGTATTACTACCGGAACGTTGCATATTATTTGTATTGTGACCCAGGGCTATACGACCAACCGACGATGATGATGATGCTGCTGCCGCCGCTGCTGCTGCTGATGTCGATGGACCAAATAAATCGGTCGCTTTGCGAAAACAGTTATTTATATTCTCAGTATCCTGCTGATGTAAAATCTCTGTTGCAATTTCCGATTTATATTTTTTCGAGGCGCTCATAGCTTGCCGCTGTATGGATACGCTTGGTATAGCGCAGTCAACGCTTTCGTAACGATGCTGGTTGTTGTTGTCCTATCCCTTTTCTATGGCAAGAATATCACACAAACAGACTTCCGGGTAATAGAAAAAACGGATGCAAACGGTAACCAACGGCACAGCGTTGGACAAGACTTGCTTGCAATGCTTTCCAAAGATCAAGGATATCCTAAAGTAAAAAATGTGATATTTCAATGACAAATGACAACTTATTGACGAGATTTATGCCACAACCTGAACTTGCCTTTTTGCAAACAAACTATTGTCACAATCAATGTGTTGCTATTGAATTATTTTTTTTTTACGTTTGGCCACTACAGCAGCACACAAAAATCACTAGAATCGAATCGTGAGAGGTATTCTTCTTTTGATGGATGATATTCCGTCTTTGTCTTTTTTCAACACTGACCGTATCTTATTTTTTAATCACATTGGCCCGAATTGAATCGAGGCATGCAAGTTAATGTCTTTTTGTCGTTAATTTGTTGTTTTTATTTTGGGAAATATTGCAAAATTTAAAAACAATAATGGAATTTCTTTCTGGACGTTCGTTTGATAAATTTTCCGCTGCTTCTTCTTCATGCAATGAAATTCTCTGCGAATTGTGCAAATTGATGTTTGTTGACATTCGTTGTCGGTAGTGTGTTTTCTGTGGGGTATGTTCAGTGAGAGAGAGGCACATAACTCATACAGTGTGCATAATATTTGCAAACGTTTTAATTTTGTATGACAGTTGTACACGATGATGTTTTTTTATTCATATAAATTATGTTTATTGGCGACATTATAGATGAAGTTTTAAAATTCGAATTTATGCCATAAATAAAATTTATATTTAATCTTCTATCCCAAAGAGTAGGATGGATTGTTAAATCCGAAATAAAACACGATTTGCATTCATTTTTTGTTAATAAGGCTACGTTTACATTAAACCTTTTCTACTACATCACGTCATTTAAATCTATTGTTTGATTTAGGATTTGGAGTAGTTGATGTATAGTGGTTTCTGGAACCGGTGATTGCTTGTGGCTAGGTTGCCATTCATGAAAATTGAAATTGTATCCTTACTTTTGTATACGCCAAACGAAGGACATATCTTCGGAAAACCTTTAATTCATATGACAGATCTTATAATTAAAAGACCTATATACACCCACATTAAATTCTTAAAAATAAATCAAATCAGAGAAGCAAAATAAATACAAAAATTAAATGTAGTACAGAAACATCTGTAATATTTATTATCAAATAAGATAAAAAGTCAAACATTTCAATTCAAATAATTCAATTGTGTAGCATTAAAAAATATAGAAATATTGCTACAAACACGCTAAAACAGTAATATTACAATAAGTCTATTTTCACAGATTCCGTGTTGCATATCACCTAAAGATGTCGCCATGTCCATTGTAATATAAACGCCAGCATTCCCAACAGCAACGCTATCACACCAAACATTTTACTACGTGGCTCTTCAGATGATTGAACAGCCGCGATTGGCGCCTTAACCGGTTGACTACATTTTTTCCAATCATCTTCATTGTCCAGAATTTCACCCATCATACTAAACTTTGTTGTACTCGTAATGCGAACATTAACACTAGTACCCAGTAGATTTTTACGCATCGGTAACAAAATCTGTTCATAGCTTTTGTTGTGACCCACATAGTGTAGGTTGTCATGTGACACCTCGGTAACAAGTACTTTGTAAATTTGTCCCTCTCGTCCGGCGTAGGGATAGTAACTGTTGAAGAGATCAGTTAGACGTTTTGTACGCTTTTTCACTTGATCCGCCGGGATACGGGTCATTCTTGCTGCTGGTGTTCCGGGTCGTGGAAAGAATTGATTAATGAAAAGGCTGGGAAATTCATATTTTTTACACATTCGCATTGTATCCTCAAAGTCTTCTTCTGTCTCGGTAGGGAAACCACAAATAATGTCCGTTGCTATGGTCAAGCCTTCAACACGTTCACGTAGAAAATCAACAACATGTTCAAAATCACTACGGCAATATTCACGTTTCATATCGCCCAGAACGGCATCACTTCCACTTTGTACGGGGACATGCAAAAAGGCGTACACCCTGGGATGATTAAGGATCTTTGACATTTCCTCCAGATGTTCCAAAATATATGGAGGATTTGTCATACCAACACGCAACATACAATTTTCCGGGATAACTTCAACCAACTTCCACAATAGTTCGGGTAATGATGTACCAATGTCTCTGCCATAGGCACCAGTATCCTCTGATGTTAGCCATATTTCACAGCATCCCTCTTCAAAAGCCTGTTTGGCCCGAGCAACAATTTCCTCTGGGGCATAACTGGCCAAATCACCTCTAGCATGTTTGGTTTTGCAATAGGTGCACTGATTCAAACAACCCGTGTTTATGGCAATAATTTCAATTAAAGGGTTCTTCCTGATTTTTGGTAACGCCAACTTTGCTCCAGCAACTCTCTGTCCATCTTCCTTTTTACTTTGCAGCAAACGTACAGTATGACCCTTCAGGGTCTCCTCGACGACCTCCACTACTCTGTCAATTTGCTGTACACCAATGACTGAGAGACCTTTCAAATACCCAGATTTCGGTGCACCCTGAGGAACACATCCAGCTACAACCACATGCTTGCCCGTCGACGTACCATGTTCGATTTCATTACGAAAGGTGTCTTCGGACGGATTCTTAACCGTACAACTGTTGAGTAACCACAGATCGGCGTTTTCCTTTGAGTCCGTGAGTTGATAGCCATATGCCGATAATTGTCCCATCATATATTCCGTATCGGAACTGTTGTGAGAACACCCCCATGTTTTGACGTAAATTTTCTGTGTGCCCGGAATTACACTTTCATAGATTTTCTTTGCTTCAGCAGGTTCGGCAGCGGTGGTGGTGGTGCCATTTGCGACGTTTCCATTTGCAGCCTTCTTTGGTCTCACTGTAACACTTTTCTTATTCCGATATCTTTCTTTGGGTTTAATATCTTCCGATGATATTAGATCCTCTATATCGGCTATATCGTTCTCTTCCATAAAAACCATTTCAATTAAAAATGAAAATTTATTGAAAAATCCCAAAAAATAAACACAGCGACTGCGAGATGCACGTTGTGTCGTTTGTTCAAAAGAACGATTCGGCGAAAAGAACGATAGGAACTATTTTCAAATGATACGAATAGAGGAGATCAAGGTATATTTAATAAGGTAGCCGCATCGGCCCAGCTGTTGGACAAATTAATGTCAAAAATGTTGTTGTAATGTTGAACCAAAAAATTAAAAAATAAAATTATGAATGAAAATCTCCGAATTTCGAAGAGCTTTTTTGGCAATACTTTTATTAACATTTTCTATAAGAATTTGTGTAAAAAAATCTTGCCAATCTGTTTGTTTTGGCAAAATATTTTTGACATATCAAAATACAACAACCGATGTTTGTTGTAGAAATTCGCCGATGCGGCTACCTTGTATATCTACCTTGGAGGAGATGGTAGAGAATGGGCAAAATATCGCTGTGTTTACGAATTGGTGTAATGCATAACAGCGATAAACTATCAGCTGACAATGTGTACATTTACACGATGGGTTGGGTGCACGCATCCACATGAGGCATCTTTCGTATATATCACACAGTGTTCGGGTTTTCTTCAAGAAAACATGTAATAATTTTTTTTAAAATAAAAGAAAAAAGTCTAAAAATACTATTATATATATTCTTGAAGATTCTGAACAGATCACAAATCTTGTCATTCAGATTGCTAGTGGGTTGTGGCGTTCAGGGTGAGATTGAAACGAAACGAAAAAGTTAGAAAATCTTGAGATTGTTCTCCCACGGAGTTTTATGTTTTTACGAAGTGCTTTAATCCATTAATGATTATGTTGGTTTAGGCCACGAATGTTATAATTTCTCTAGAAATAAGTTCGAAGTTTTGCACAATCTGGACAGTGGCATAGACAATTTTTGCAATTTCGATAAAAAGTAAAATTTGCTTGGACTTATCATCATTTGATTTTCCCCTAGACATTTCTTTGTTCTTTTAAATATTTAAAATGATTTTGTGGATCTCTTTCGATTATGGCCCTATATCTTTACGCAATTCGCTAAATTGATTGAAGTTATTCACGTTTATAAAGTGGGGATCAGTAGTACTACTGGCGAGTATATTGGGTTTTTCAGGACCTATAATTTATGTGTGACCCACTACGGATATAATTCGTACAATACCTTGTTGCGAGAAAATATTTTGGGGCTATGTACACTCCAATCCCGTTTTGAATTTAACATTAACATTTAACAGCAAACTCCGTTATAGCTCAAATCTTCACCAGAAGGATCGTAGTATGATTTGGTAGGCCAAAGGATTTATGTCGGGGTGATCTGTTGTAAAGACATCAGACCTTTCCTTGTTTTTTGAAACTTCCTTCTCATGCAGGATTTGTAAAAGAAGATTTCCTTTCCGGAAAAGGAAAACATTCTTCGAAAAACTTCTTCTTCAGTACTTAAACGGCATATACATTACAGCTTTTTTACCGGGTTAACCTACTTTATGAGGATTTATTTGACAAATATGCAAAGGAAATGACAATTGAAACCCACTGGGTTAACGAAATCCGGTTAGGTGTAAACGTAGCCTTAGGCCAGTGTTGCTCAGCTCTCAATTTAGATTTGCCGTTTGTTTAGCATATACAGGAGAGTAACTTACAAATACCAATGCAAGTATTATGAGCATCACTGACGTTTCTGTTATCCTTACCTCTGTATGCAATTAGTTTTGGATATATGGGTTTCCGCGGTGGGCGTGATATTTAAAAAGGAATGCTCTTTTTTATTACAAATTTTCATAAACATTTATTCTTATATTTTTCACCGTTCAAAAAAGAATAATTTGTATTTTTGTAACTACTGAGATTCAACAGTCACAAAACGTGATATCTACATGATATTAAATCAAGATTTTGATGATAATTTGCTTGTTTGTTTACATTTTTCTGTCAAATGAGTTGACACTAGTAGAACTTACAACTACAAATTTCCATGTGGTTGTTGTATCGTTTTTTGTACAACAACACTTGCTGTTACCTTTTATTAGGTTCGTTCGTTTACTTTCCCAGTAATATTTACTCAGTAAGAATTTGCAGAGAGTAAATACGAATTTTTCCTTCTCAAGAGAGAAAACTGCAAAAAGTAAACGAACAACATCCAGTAAAAAGATTGTTTCGACACAGCTGATTAAAACAACAAACAAATTGGCGCAAACTAAAAAACAGCATTTCTATTAGCAAAATGGATAACAAGCGGAAAATTGATGTTGTTTATTCCCCACAAACATTTAAAAGGATTGTGACCGGTAAGTTTTAACTATTTTTTTGGAAATATATTGATGTTGATTGATGTTTACAGATTCGGTGTATATATTCAGTGGTTGCTCAAATGAGTGACACATTGAGGACTACGACGAGATTGTGTTCTCGCCAAATCGAGAACCAACTGATAACGCAGAATTTACCCAGGAAATATCATATTCAAAGTCGCAGGAAGAAGCAGACGTTCCGGCATGTGATGCTGATACAAAAAAAAAATATCTGGTTGGATTCAGCTGTAAAAATGTTGCCTTATTTTTAAATACTTGCGTTTTCTTCATCCATTTTGGTATTTAATGAAATCAAAATAAAATTCACAAAACAATCAATTTTCTTGAGAACAATTTTTTGTTTGTTTACAAAACATAACTAAACAGCTGATTAAATATCAGCTGATGGCACAAGAAAATTCTTACTGAGTAAATTTTTCAAAGTAAGAATTTGCAAGTACTCAGTAACACAACTGTCAAATCTACTCTCTCAATTCACTCTCTTTTACTGGACTTTTGGGTAAACGAACAACATTTTGTAATAATTTGTACAAATTCGTACAAATTATTGAGTAAACGAACGAACCTATTATTATACCATGAATTCGAACATAGAAATTTTACTCAAATAGAAATTTTACTCAGTTGATATATTAGGTTCTTTCGTTAACTTTCCCAACATTTAGCGCGGATTTACACTGTTGGTGATTGGGATTGGTGATGAGAGTTTTTCTCTCTCTCTCATTGGTAAATTGAGTGTAATTAGAGTTGCCCTATTTTTAATTTTGTAGCAAGCTTACTTTTTGTTCACAAAAGGTACGAATTTACATAAACGTACCAAGTCAAAAAGCAGTATTTTTATTAGAAAAGTGAATAACAATCTAAAAATTCATGTAGTTTATAAATACTTGCGTTTCCTTAATCCTTGTTAATGTTTAATGATATAAAATCAAAATAAAATCAATTTGTTTAAGAACAATTTTGTTGTTTGTTTACAAAACATAACAAAACTGCTGATGATACAAGACAATTTTTACTGAGTAAGAATTTGCAAATACTCAGTAACACAACTGTCAAATCCGCTCTCTTTCAATTCACTCTCGTTTACTGGACTTTTGGGTAAACGAACAGCATTTTGTACAAATTATTGAGTAAACGAACGGACCTATTAATTGTATATATTTGTATTATTATTTGGAATGGGTTTGGGTGGTGAGTCTATTTTATAATTCGATACATATAAATAATTATATGAAAAACGGTTCACATTCGCTCAAATAGAATTTTTGCTCAGTTGATATAATAAAACACACAACAATAACAAATACCAATTCAACACAATACAGCAACAAGTTGTGTTTTTCACAAAACAGATACAGTGGATTTTTTTTTATTTTTGGAGGCAAACATTTGCCAAGACACTAGTTTCGTGGTATACCATTTATATTATATATTATATTATTATTGGTATATCCTCAAAGGATTTAAATTTGTCTAACTGTAAACAAACTGTTAATCGTTTCAAAATCTATTCACCGTTATAATATATTTTTATATATAGTAAAAATTACATTCATTTCATTCAAGTTCTGCAATAATCAAATTTACTTCATTAAACCCCACTGTTTATTTATTTCTTTTTTTTTTGTGAGAGCATGCGGGAGAGAGAGAGATTAAGAGAGCTTGTCCAATCAACTAAAACTTTATTACTTTGCAATGAAAATAATCTGCTTGAATAAACAAACAAATAGCGCAAAAAATGTATCACAAATTTAGTTATCAATGAACCGTCGTCGTCCATCATAGCAAACAAAGCAGGAACAACGGTCACCACCGCCGTCAACACACTAAAATGTTAGCTACAATTCTAATTGCCATTCTAATTGGAATTTCGGCATATTGCCTATGGCATTTAAATAAAAATTATGCGTTGGCCTCTTGGACGCGTAAAATTAAAACCATCGATGGTACACCGGTCGAAAGTAAAGCGGCCGTTGTTGGTGGCTTTTGGGGTAGTAATTTTGATTTGTTATCAATGAATTTGGGTAAGTTGGAGAGGAAATTGAACGCTCGTTTCATATACTATATTTTTCTAATTCAATATTTGTAATTTTGTTGTAGAGGAATTCTTTGACTATTCGCGTATATTTGCCGAGAACCTCAAACGTAATTATATTCAATATTTCCTATTGACACCGGTTTATAATATTATTGATGCTGAGAGCGCCGAACTAGTCTTGAATGATTCACGTCTATTGGCAAAGGGTGTTGTTTATGAATTTTTACATCCATTTTTAAAAACTGGTCTATTGACAAGCACCGGTGAGTATGAAATGATATGTGGAATGTTTCTAAATTGTGGCATAATAATTGTAATTGTAGCGCCACAATAAATGCTGAATGGGAGGGAGACTTGACCTTCGATGATATGAAAAAAAAAAAAAAAATATTGTTTACATACAATATTTGTGTGTGTGTGTGAATTTTGATAAAACAAATGTGCTCTGTGTGTTTCCGTACACAAATGATCGCATAAACAATAACTGGGAAAACTTTTAAAGGAAAAATCAAAAAATTAAGACTTCGATACATAGAAGATTTCTGCATATTCAGAGCAACAGAGCAACAAAATATATTTAAAAGATATTAGTATATTAAAATAATATATTATTGTCGGTACTGTATTAAATTTTTAATTAGGTTCGTTCGTTTACTTTCCCAGTAACTTTTATTCAGTAAGATTTTGCAGAGAGAAAAATTGCGAAAAATTAAACGAAAAACATCCAGTAAAAAGATTGAATGGACACAGCTGATTAAAACAACCAACAATTTGGCGTAAACAAATAAGGAGCATTTTTAATAGAAAAATGGATAACAAGCGGAACATGTATGTTGTTTAAAAATATTTACGTTTTCTTCAACCATTTTAATGTTTAATGATACTAAATCAAAATAAAATTCACAAAACAATCAATTTGATTGGGAACAATTTTGTTGATTTTTTACAAAAAATAACAAAACAGCTGATTAAATATCAGCTGATGGTAGAAGAAAATTCTTACTGAGTAAATTTTCCTTGTAAAAATTTGGAAATACTAACATAACTGTCAAATCTGCTCTCTCTCTTTAACTGAATTTTTGGGTAATAGAACAACATTTCGTAATATTTTTTACAAATTATTGAGTAAAAGAACGAACCTATTATTGTTAATAGCAAGATAGAAGCTATGCTTCTGAATTTGTATAAAACAAATATTGCCGGCTATAATTATAGGAAATAATTATAGCTTCCCTAAAATACCATTGATATAAATAAAGTTAACAATAAATATTGTTGTACAATTAGAGAAAATGGAAATGAAATTAACCATATCAAGTCAGCTGAAGTCGCAGAAAAAAACCAGTAAGGAAAGTAGTAAAGTCGGACGGGTCCGACTATATGATACCCTTCACCACGGTTATATTCAACAGCTGCATTCTAACACACGTCGCATTTGTAAAGGATCATTAAATTGTATGAACTAAAATATGAACTAAAATGTGAACCGACTTAGATCAATGCATAAACATGTCATTCTGCAAACTATACTAACTTTTTCACTTACGCAAATATAGATTCGTTTTTTTACATTGGGGCAAAATTATGTTAATCGATTAAAGCAGTCGGACATCCGTTGATTAATTAGAGCCCAATTAACATAATAATTATGCCAAAAATTGTATTAGGACTAACATTTTAATTAAATTTTACATCAAACAATAACCTTTTTCTAAAATTTTAGGCAAGAAATGGTATACCCGTCGCCGCCTTTTGACTCCGACATTCCATTTCAATATTTTACAGCATTTTATGGATACCTTTAAGTGAGTAATTGTTGTTTTTTTATTATTTTGTTATAGCCAATACTATTTTTTGGATTCTTTTCTATTTTAGACATGAATCAAAGTGTTTTGTGGATAATCTTAAAACACTTTTAGAATCAGGCAATTCGACGGGGGAGGTGTCACTGAGTGATGTTATACCTCGATTTACACTCAACAATATATGTGGTAAGTTTGAAGCGTATGTGTTAAAATGGTTAATACGAGGGCAGTTCGGACAGTTCTTCTCATGGAAACTTCCATCTTTATTATGAACACATGTTAAATTCTGGCAACTCCTTCATATAGAAACAAAAAAAGACGCAGTCTCAATTTTTTTACAATGAAAGCACGCATTTCTAATTTTTCCATTGTAAAAAATTGCGAATACGTCTTTCTTGAACACCTGTTTCTATATGAAGGTGTTGCCAGATCGAAACAAAACTTAACAGAGATGGAAGTTTCCAAAACACTTAACTTTTCTATTTATACCGCGCTTTTTGTGCTAGGCTAAGAATTTTCCGAACTACCCAGAAGAGCTATAGATATTTCACGATATTTCTATTCTAATATATAAAGAAAGCCAGGTTTCTAATCATTAACTTGTTTTCTATGTTTTTTTTTTGGTTTTTTTTTAGAAACTGCATTGGGTGTACGACTCGATGAACGTTTGGATGGCGATGAATATCGCGAACACATTTCAAAAGTTGAGGAAATGTTGGTGGAACGTCTCAAGAATCCTTTAAATACTTTTGATTTTATTTACAATAACTTTAGTGATGGTAAACGATATTTAAAAGCAATGGAAAAACTACACGCATTTTCCAGTGGCATTATTGAAAAACGACGAGAACTCTTGGGCGATGAATTACAAAAGATGAACGAGAATGCTGAACAGGATCTAGAGGCTAAGTATATTACAATTTCATTTATATGTAACATATTTTCTCTAATTAAATTTTCCAATATCCCCTAGCATTTATCGCAAACAACGTTATGCCATGCTGGATAGTTTGTTGCGCGCCGAAAAACAGGGCCTTATCGATCATGCTGGTATTTGTGAAGAAGTTGACACCTTTATGTTTGAGGGATTCGATACAACATCAATGCATTTAATATTTGTTCTAATGAATTTCGCTTTATATCCGGAAATGCAAGAGAAATGTTATCGGGAAATCATCGAGAATATTAGCGGTGATTTATCAACCGTAGATATGTCCGAGCTAAGTAATCTTAAATATTTGGATTGTTTTATAAAAGAAACTCAACGTTTGTATCCCTCCGTGCCGATTATAATACGTGAAACTATCTCGGATATTGTTTTTGCTGATCAGTTACTATTCCCCAAAAATACACAAATAAATATACACATCTATGATATACATCGTAATCCAAAATATTATAAAGATCCCAATGCGTTTCGACCGGAAAGATTTTTCAGCACCGAAGCAGAGCAGAGGCATCCGTTTGCGTTTATACCATTTAGTGCTGGACAAAGGAATTGTATTGGTAAGAGAAACAAATTATATTTTTATTGTATTGTTTTGTTTAAATGTTTCTGTATTTTAGGACAAAAATTCGCTATGCTGGAAATTAAAACATTATTGGTACATATCTTGAAAAATTTCCGCTTGGAACCCATTACAACACCGGAATCGTTTCGTTTCTCGGCTGGTCTTTTATTACGTACAAATGACAAAGTTAAAATTAAAATAAAGAAGAGGGAAACATTGTAAAAATAGAGAATTTAATAAAAAAATGTTAATAATAAAATTTATAATTTTCAACAAACACAAATTGTCTGAGAAACAATTCTAAATTTTAATTTAAAAAATTTATTAAATAATCATTCGCATTCTGAATGAAGTCCGAATGAAAAAAATCCGCTTTGGGAAAAAATTAGATATTCTGTACTGCAAATATAGCAACGGAATGTATAAAGACAATAAGGAATATTTAGGCCGAGTTTAATGAAATTTCGAGGCAAAAAAAGACATTTTCTGTGAGGATCTGTCTCTCCAGTTTCTGAATCGATTTACGCATGTCCTTCTGTCCGTCCGTCTGTTCATGTTAAATTGTAAACAAAGTACAGGTCGCATTTATGATCCGAATTGGATGAGATTTGGCATAGGTCACTTATTTGGCCGAAGGACGAACCCTATTGAAATTGAGAAAAATCGGTTCAGATTTAGATATAGCTCCCATATTTAATTTAATGTAAATGGTGTACCTAAGTCCCTATATATCTTTCGATTTGCACGAAATTTGGTGTGTCAAGTTTCGTGAAAATCGGTTCTGATTTAGATATAGCTCCTATATATCTTTTCTTCCGATTTTATGTAAATTGTGCTCTAAAGACCCACAGTTTGTCCGATTGCCACACAATTTGGTACAATGAACTGTAGTTAATATAAGTCTCTGGCAAGTATCATTGAAATCAGTTCAGATTTTGATATAGCTTATATATATATATATTCTTTAAATTTATTTACATAATTTTTTCCCATTGTAAGAAGCAACCCTATATCTGATTAAATGAAAAATTTAGTATAGGTTGCAGAATGACATGCCTTTTAGGATTCATCTGTTGAATATACCCAAAGTGGTGAAGGGTATCATATAGTCGGCCCCGTCCGACTTTACTACTTTCCTTACTGGTTTCTCAATGGTGTTTACTCTGTAAGTTATCGGACAAACCTATTGCTGAGCAATTTACACTGCAATTTTTGTCGTACACACCTGTTTGATCGGCAAACGGCTTCAGAATTGATAATAACGATTACAAATCTTATCTCTTAAAAAATATTAGTCATGTTTTATTTGTATAAAAAATATACACCAGATTTTTTTTACAAAATGTTTTGTGGAATTTTAAATAATATTTTTGTTGGATTTTTTATAGGACCAACAAGGATTTTTTAATACATATTCAACTTACAACGCGTAAAGTTTTTATAAAATATATTTTTTTAAAAGACTTACCAGACGTAGATTTTTTAATGCATTTTTTTAAAGCCTGAAAGGCGTAGATTTTTTATAAATATTTTTAGATTGATTAACAAATATTTTTTAAACGACTTACAAGGTGTAGATTTTTTAATAAATATTTTTTAAAGGCGTAGTTTTTTTTAATAAATATTTTTTAAAAGACGTACATTTTTTTAATAAATATTTTTTAAAAGGCGTAAATTTTTTATTAATTTTTTTAAAGGCGTAGATTTTTTATTAATTTTTTTTAGGACGTAGATTTTTTAAATAAAAAAATTTTAAAAGGCGTAGATTTTTTAAAAATTAAAGTTTTTTTAAGGGTAGATTTTTTAATATTTTTTTTAAGCGTAGATTTTTTAATAAATATTTTTAGAGGCGTAGATTTTTTAATAAAAATTTTTAGAGGCGTAGATTTTTTGATAAATCTACCTTGTTTGGTCATTGAAAAGTATTTTTTAATATTGTTTGATCCTTGAAAAATATTTTTTAAAACATCCACGCCTTGTTTGACCATTGACAAATATTTTTTGAAAAAATCCACACTTTGTATGAACCTTGAAAAATATTTTTTTTAAATCCACGTTTTGTTTGAATTTTGAAAAATTAATACTTTTTTAAAGGCGTAGATTTTTTAATAAATACCTTTACAAGGTGTATATATTTAAAAATATTATTAGATTTTGTTTAAATATTTTTTAAAAGATCTCCTAGGCATAGATTTTTTAATAACTATTTTTTTACGGAGATTACTATTATTTACATAAAGGCACAATTCACAATTAACAACTCTCTACCACTCCGCTCAGACATTTTCTAACACCCTCTTAAAGAATTACTGTTGCCCACAATAGGCATATCAATATTTGTCTTATCATTATTAATTAAAATGTAAAAATGTGTATAAATACATACATATGTACATATGTATGTATGTAGTATATCTAAAAACACAGCAAATGTGCGATAAACCTTTTCACAATACCAGCAACAATAACAACAGTAACTATTATAGCCAAAATACCTCTATCGGCTAGTAGTCTAATTTTGCCGTCTAACAAATCAGTTGTTAAGCAACGACTCGTCTATACCGAACTGTTAAGCGTCAAGATTTTTTTGAACAGCATGTCTCTCTGGACTTTGGCAATTGGTTTCATTTGTATTTTGTATATATTTCGTTTACGGAAACATTTTAAAATTTTAGCATTTTTTGCACCAAAATTGCGAACGATCGATGGTACGTCGGTAGAACATTTGGTACCCACATTACCGGGTCAAACAATATTTGGTAATACATTTGATACAGCTGGTTTGGATTTTGGTAAGTTGTTATTGTAATCTTTGTTATCTAATAAGACAAAAAAAAAGAGTTATACACATACATACGAGGTGTGTTGGAAAAGTAAAGGTGATCACAAATCATGGATCGTTCGATTTTGAGTTTTAATTTTTTAAGAATTAAATCATTTTTATTTTCATTTTTGGCAGTTCAAACGTTTAAATATCTTCGCAAAAATGCCGCCCTAATGAAACAAAGCTATGTCCAATATATTATGGGCAAAACTATTCTCAATGTTATCGATGCTGAAATGGCTGAAATGATTTTTACCAACACGAAATTGATTACCAAAGGATTTGTCTATGGGTTTTTGAAACAAGCTTTGGGCGATGGCCTACTAATATCCACTGGCGAGAAATGGCATAGCAGACGCAAAATGTTGACACCGGCTTTTCATTTTAACATTTTGGGACAATTTCAGGAGATTTTTATGTAAGTCGGAAGGATGTTAATAAGGTTAATATTGTGAAATTAAAACAAAGTATTTTTTTGAATTTCAGTGAAGAAAGTCAAAAATTTATTAACTATATGGAAAATTTGGATTCAAATGTTTTGCTGCTGGATGAAATAATACCAAAATTTACATTGAACGTTGTGTGTGGTAAGTTGAAGAAGATTTGTTAAAAAGTTATTCATGAAAAATATTTATTCGGCCTATAAGCCGAAAAATCAACGGTTTTTGAACCCTTGACAAATATTTTTAAAAAATACATCCTTTTTTTGACCCTTGAAAATATATTTTCTTTTTTAGAAACTGCTCTGGGTGTTAAATTAGATGAATGCCTTGATGGTGATGAATATCGTCGTAGTTTCAGTGTTTTCGAAGAGTGCTTCAATAGACGTGTCAATAATCCCCATTTGATGAACGAAACGGTCTACAAGGCCATCGAAGAATATAAATATTTGCCAGCTTTAAAAATTGCTCATGATTTCTCCAGCAATATAATACAAAAGAGAAGAGAACAATTTGCCAAAGAGCAGGAGGCAAGTCAAATACAGGCTGAAGATGAACAAAGGTATAACACATTAAAAAAATTATTATTACAAAAAAAAGTAATAATCAATCCCCATCTCTCTTAGTTTCCGGAAGCAACGCTATGCCATGTTAGATACTCTGCTGTATGCCGAAAAAGATGGTCTCATCGATCATGCCGGCATTTGTGAAGAAGTTGATACCTTTATGTTTGAGGGTTATGACACCACATCGATGAGTTTGATATTTTGTTTAATGAATCTTTCGCTATATCCCAAAATGCAAGAACGTTGCTATCAAGAAATCCTCAATAGCCTTGATGGTGATTTAGAAAAAGTGGATATTTCCGCATTAAGTAAATTAAAATATCTGGAATGTTTTATGAAAGAATCAATGCGTCTATATTCCACTGTACCGATAATTATGCGTGAAGCTGTGGAAGAAACTGAACTACCGAACGGTTTAATATTACCCGCCAATTCATATGTGACTGTGCACATATTCGATTTACATCGTAATCCAAGACATTTTGAAAATCCCGAAGATTTTAATCCGGATCGATTTTTACCTGAAAATTCGGTGGGTCGTCATCCATATGCATTTGCACCATTTAGTGCGGGGCAGAGGAATTGTATAGGTATGTCACGTTTTGGAAATCTGATTATATTTTAATACTTATTTGTTGTTGTTTTCTATATTTACAGGTCAAAAATTCGCCATGAATGAAATGAAAACATTACTCGTCCATATTATTAAGAATTATAAGTTGTTACCTTTAGTAGATCCAAGTGCATTTGATTTTAAATCTGGTATTATTATTCGAACTAAGAATGAGGTTAAGGTGAAATTTATTAAGAGACAATAAATGAAGATTTTAAAAATATTAAAATTATTTAATTCCACGACTTGTTTTGATAATGGAAACACTATTTTTTAAAAAAATCCTTGACTATTTGGCCCTTGTCAAAATATTAATCGGACGGGAGCGACTATATGCTACCCTTCTGAACCGATTTCAACAAAACTTGACACATGTTAGGCTATACAAACTTCAGTATGCGGTGCAAAATTTTGTGCCACTCGGCCTAAGTTTTGGTCTTTGGTGCACCAGTTACTTAAAATCGGAAGAAAATATATATGGCAGCTATATCCAATTCTGAACCGATTTCGATAAAACTTGACACACGTTCTGTTATAGTAAATTTAATATTTTGTGTCAATCGGCTTAACTTTGGGGCTTTGGTGCACCATTTACATAAAATCGGTCTGAACCGCTTTTCAGGAAACTTAGCACACATCATTCTAGACTCAATTTAGTGCGCTATGCCAAATTTCGTGCAAATCGAAAGAAATGTAGGAGCTTTGGTGCATCATTTACTTAAAATCGCAAGAAAATATATATGAGTGCTATATCCAAATCTGAACCGATTTCAACGAAACTTTAGACAAAGTAGTTTCTAACATTAAATCGAAAGAAATGTAGGGGCTTTGGTGCAATAATTCACATATATAGACCTATATCTGTAAAAATATATTTTTTTAATAAATCACACATATTAGACCCCTGTAAAAATATTTTTTTAAAATAATATTCAAAAACCCCACACAGGATTTGATCCTTTCAAAAAAATATTTTTTTATTTATTTAATGTATTCACTCCAAATATTATAAAAAATCCCCTCCCCTAAGTTGCACCCTTACTAAAACTACAGCTCTGCCCTAATATTTAGAAAACCTGCAACGGTAAAAGTACTTTGCCACAATTAGAATAGTCTGCCTTCTGAGTTGGTGCAACTGCACCAGCAGCAAAGTGCTAATTGGCTGCTAGTCAAAACTCTGTTTGTGATCCATTTAAAGTCTAAACCCATTTGGCGGAAACAATTTAGTTGCAATTAACCATTCAACATGTTCAAATGTATTATTTGCAAACAATTTGTGTTGTTGGTATATTTGCTTGCAATGCTCTTCGTTGTCGGCGATACAAGTTTAATGCGGCAAAAACGTTTCTTGATATTTCCTCGTCAAGCACCCACCAGACATCAGGTTGGTATTTCATCATTTCATCAGCAGGATGAAAATATATATTTTTTTTATTTTTCAGTTCATTGGCGGCATTGGTATACCAGCCGACTTGGCCTATGAATCCCTGACAATTGGTTATGTCCTGAAGGCCATGTATTGGCTGCCGTTCAATGAGACTCACTTTCGTGAAAATCCCTATTTCCCCGAATACAAAGATGGTTTTTATAATTTAAATACCAGTGCATATATATCGCAGCGTAGCAGACGTTCTACCCTACGTTGGGATATTTATGATATTTTGAGTGAACGTTTTGATAGGTATGTATGTATACTGGGTATAATATTTAAAAATCAAATTCTAAATTATTATTTCAATATATATTCTAAGTTATGGTTATCGGGGTCAGGAATGCGTAATGAAGGCCATATGTGAGGCAAATGCCTTAACATTTGTAAGGCACTACGATGTTTTCAGTGAACTGATGCACATACTCTTCAGGTGAACATGAATCTCCATCAAAAAGAAAATAAAATGCATTTCTCATAACAAATTGAATTGTAATCTTTACACACACACATACATATATGGTTAATTTCATTACAGCCCTTCTACATCGCATGACATGGAAACCGATTTAAGTCAAAATTACTTGGAGGCTGAAAAACTAGGATCCTCAAGCGGTGATTGTACAATATACGAATGCAATTTTTCTATAATGGAATTAATATCAAAAATATTTAAAATAAATTGATAAATTTTAAAGGGAATTTTTACAAAACTCGATATTTTTGGTGATTGAATTTTTGAAAAAAAGACTGGTAGGTACTCGAATAATTTAATAATAAACTATTTTTAAAATTTCCACACTATGAAAAACATTTATTAACCAGTAAGGAAAGTTCAAAAATCGGACGGGGTCGACTATATAAAATCAGACGAAATCTAGTACACTGTGCAAAATGTTGTCTCAATCGGACATATATTGTTAGTTTGGTGCACAATATGCCAAAATCGGACGAAACTATATATGGGAGCTATATCTAAATCTGAACCGATTTTCACAAAACGTCATATACATTAATATGAACCTATCTCAATACGCTGTGCAAAATTTTGTCTCAATCGGAAAAATATTGCGAGTTTGGTGCACCATTTTCCCAAAATCTGACGAAACTATATATGGGAGCTATAGCTAAATCTAAGTCGATTTTCTTCAATTTCAATAGGATTCGTCTTTGGGCTAAATAAGTGTCCTGTGCCAATTTCATCTCAATCGGATCATTAATGCGACCTGTACATTGCTCACAAAAATACATGGACGGACACGCATAAATCGACTCAGAATGTGATTCTATGCATATTTCTTTTGCCTGTTTGCCTGTTGTGCATATGTTTGTATGCACAAAGAAATCCTTTAAAAAAATATTTTTTTAAAATTCCGCTCCTTGAAAAAAAATTATTAAAAAGTTTAAAAATTCCACGTCCTAAAAAAGGTATATTAAAAATTCTGCGCCTACAAAAAAAATTATTAAAAATTTCACACCATTTATTAAAAATTCCATGCCTTGAAAACAAAAATTATTAAAAACTAGCATATACCTGCTACTTCGTTAGCGAATGTGGGTAATATTTAAAAATGTATTAACATATTATTTTATTTTCACAGAAAACTGTATACGTCAGAAAAACTAAACAATCCACACATTAATCTCGACCATAAATTGAATTTGAGTACCATTTAGTACCAAATTTCATGATTTGAGCTCTAAAGGTTCACCCAAATCCAAATTTTACCAAATTAAATTCCATTTCGCACACATTATTTCCATAAGTACCTTCCAGCAAAACTTCCTGCATACGCCGATCCTACAGAATGATTCCAATTCAAATTTGAGGTTTTCAAATCTATTGGTTCACCCACAATTCAAATTGCACCAAATATAGTACACAGTAGTACGAGTTTCCAAAACTTCCTACTTAACCCAAACCAACACCCAACAGTGATCCTAAATCCAAGTTTCTGGATCGGTTCACCCACAATTCAAATTGTACCAAATTTTGTACACAGTAGTACCAATTTCCAAAAATTACTACATACCCCAATCCTACACCTCCACAGTGATCCTAAATCAAATTTTGAGGATTCAAAACTCTATCGGTTCACCCACAATTCAAATTGTACCAAATTTAGTACATAGTAGTACCAATTTCCAAAATTACTACATAGCCCAATCCCATTGTATCCCATTTAGTACACAGTAGTAACCCTTTCCAAAACTTCCTACATACTCCAATCCTACACCTCCACATTGATTCTAAATCCACAATTCCAATTTTACCAAATTTTGTACACAGTAGTACCAATTTCCAAAACTTCCTAAATACCCCAATTCTACACATCCACAGTGATCCTAAATTTAAGTTTTAGGATTCCAACTCTATCGGTTCACCCACAAATCAAATCGTACTAAATTTAGTACATAGTACTACCAATTTCCAAACCTTCCTACTTACCCCAATCCTACACCTCCACAGTGATCCTAAATCAAAATTTCAGGATTCCAACTCTATCGCTTCACCCACAGTTTAAATTGTACCAAATTTAGTAGACTTAGTACAAATTTCTAAAACTTTCTACATGTCCCAACAAATCCAAGTTTCAGGATTCCAACTCTATCGGTTCACTCACAATTCAAATTGTACCAAATTTAGTACACATTTATACAAATTTCTTAAACTTTTACATATCTCAGTCTTACACCTCAACAGTGATCCTGACTCCAAATTTCATGATTCTTGTTCTATTGGTTCTCCTAAAATTCAAATTGTACCAAATTTAGTACTATAAGTATTAATCTCTTAAACTGAATCCTGACCACAATCCCACACCACTACAGTGATCCTGACTCCAAATTCCATTGTTCCAAATCCAAGCTGTACCGATTATAGTACGATTTAGTGCTTGCCGCCAATGAACTGATTTAGTACTTTTTTCTTACACATAAGTAACAAACTTCCAAAACTACGTTCATATCTCAAATTCATATCCGACGGTAATATTAATTTCAAATTCCAGCTCGATTTGTATCTCCAAATTAAATTTGTACCAAATATATAGTACTTGTCGTACATGCTTTCAAAACCATCTCCTTAAATAGATGCTACGAAATTGTACCAAAATTAGTACATTTTAGTACTTTTCGCATACTTATAGTTCGAATGTCTAAAAAACCCTTTGCTATATCTATTCTAACCCAATTAGTGACCCTCATTTAAAATTTAATAGTTCTAGCTCTACCGGTTCGCCAAATACAAATGATATAACATTTAGTACTTTTTAGTACTTTTCGTACCGTTCTAGTACGAATTTCCAAAAACCCAGCCTTATCTGTCACCTTTGGACCAATAGTGACCCTCACCCAAAATTTCAAGATTCTAGCTTCAGCCGTTTCGTCATGACGTTGATGATGATAGTTAAATCAGTCAGTCAATCACATTACTCTTTTATTAATATAGATTCCATGCTTTGATTTTTTTATAATTCCACTCTTTGTTTAATTCCACGCCTTGAAAAAAATATTTATTAAAATTCACGCCTTCAAAAAATATTTATTAAAAATTCCACGCCTTGAAAAATATTTATTAAAAATCCCCTGAACTGTTTGGTCCATGAAAACATATTTGTTAAAAAAACAGCGTAGTTGGGGCTTTGAAAAATATTTGAAATAACCACGCTTTATTTGGCCTTTGAAAAAGATTTATTTCAAATACCGACACCTTATTTGGTCCCTAAAAAATATGTATTTAAAAAATCCACCCCTGGTTTGTTTGGTCCTTAAAAAAATATACCCAAATTTTGTTTTCATTAAATGTTCAGCAGTTTATTTGTTATTATATTCAAAAGTAGAAATTACATACGTACGTATAGTTCGTTTCCAACTTTTATTTATGAGTGTTTTTTTTTTTCAAGTAGCGTTATTGCTTTAATAATTTTATGAATACTATTTATAAAATATATGTATAGGGGTATTTTTCATTGGAATACAATTTTAATGAAAATGAGATTTTTCTTTGCTGGTGGTGGCGTAGGGACAAAAACTAGAAAATAAATTAACATAAATTGTGAGCAAACAAAAAAAAACTTTGTTACTCAAACTTAAATGAGATTTTAAAAAATATATATATGGAATACCGCACATGGTTAAAAGTAATTAATTATTATGACGAATAGAAAAAAATAATTCTTAAATGTTAAAACTTTTACAAAGCTGCCGTGGTGTATCTTAATATGATAAACTTAAATCTTGTATTAGAAATAAAGGGAAAATAATTTTCAATATTCCATACGTTTGTTGCTTTGAGTTGTTGTTGTTGTACACTTGTAAATTTTTCAATTGGTATTTTCTGCTGATGGCGCAGCTGGCGGAGTTGCCGCTGCCGCTGCAGCTTCTGTTGGTTCAGTTTTATGGAATTCTTCCAAGCATAATTTACAACTCCATGAACCTTCAGGAGGTGTTACCAGTGGCGGCGAAAGACAATACATGTGATAGCCACGATCACAATCATCGCAAAACAGCAGCTGATCGTCATTATCCGATGTACCACAAATCGAACAGTATTTGCATTCGATACACTGCCAACGATAACGTTTAACCGAAATAATCATATTGGGTGTAAATTGCAAACACGATGGATGACCCGAACGACCGCAGTCGGAACATGAAACCAATTCTTCGGGTAAGTTAGTCTTTTTATTCTCACGTTGATCGCCCAAACAGAAATCGCAATATGGTGATGGCTGGGCCACTTCACGATAATTTGAACGTCCCTTGCCAGGTTTGCCAGCCACTTTACTGGGGCTGGCCGTAGTAGCACTGACACCCACGGTAACTGGTACACTGGCAACTGTTGTTGTTGCAACAGATGCAGCACCAGCAGAAGCTGCGATTGTTGCTACCGTCGCGGCCGTTGGCCCTGAGGCAGCTGCACTAGATGAATTACTATCGGTTGGTAAACCCATTGAGGCATCCGTTGCATTTGATGACGAATTATCGATTGTTGGTGGTACTATTGGAGCTTGTACGGGTGCATTCATATTGACACTGGAAGGCATTGTAAGACCGGGTTGCGAGGAATCATCGGTATTTGTTATTGGTGATGCAGAATTGGAATGACTTATTGTTGCGGGAGCTACACTGGTTGCAATAGCAGCTACCGCCGCTGCTGATGAGGTATTTGATCCGGCGCCACCACGACGACGTCGCGGTGGTTCTTCGCCATCAGCATTAGCTGCACCGCGGCGACGAGTGCCTATAATGAAAGTGGAAAAGGGATGCATTGTTAATACAAAATATTTTGAGAATCTGAATTACTTTTGAAAAAATAGGAACGGATTTTTGGACTGTGGAAGAACGTATATATTTATAACCCAGGTCTTATATATCCGTAAATATTTTCTCCATAAAAATTTATTTAAAAGTTCCTGATTTTATCTGTTCTTAATAAATATCTATTAATCCAAGCCATGTTTGCCCTTAAAACCACGCCTTATTTATGAAATCAACGCTATGATGTCCTTAAAAAAGTTATTGAAAATCCAAGACTGCCCTTAAAAATGTATTTATTAACAAAACCTCATGATGTAGGCTCTTAAAAAATATTTTATAAGAACAACAGGCTTTGTTTGGTCCTTCAAAAGATATGGTCCAAATTTCATAAAACTATGAAAATAGGTTTAATATACAGCTGCGAAAAATAAAATAGCACCACCCTTACAAACAATACTTAGAAAGGTGTATCAACATTTTTTAAAGTTCTGCATTCGGTGGTCGTCTGACATATTCTTGAGATCCCCTTCCCCCATACACCACAATCTATCTTTCATCTGTCCATAAAACGTTTCTCCATTTAGAGGTATTTGTTTAACAAAATTAATAGGTGACTTGCTGGTGCTATTTTATTTTTCGCAACTGTATATTCAGACCAACGCCCTCACACCAAAGCACCGATCACATATATTTGCACGTGATCACCTCCTTGGACGAGAAGCGGGCACATCTAAAACTCCTGCCTGTCTATGGGTCAGGCTCCAGGTTGTAATGCCCAAACTTGGGTATAAACCACCTCTAGCACGATGTTCACCTGAATGAATGGACTAGATCCACAGACCTGAGTACCCTAACATCCGTGCTACGAAACCTTCCGTCAGCTTTATAGCCGAAGCTATTAGCAGTATAACTCAAAACAGTTCGATACTGATCATCCACAACCATTAGAACTAATATTTGCAGGCTCTCCGCAATCCTCATGGGCAATTTTATATAATTTTAACCCTGTATCTTCTTTCAAAACATTCAGCATTGCCGAACCTTATTTATTTCATTCTCAATTCATTTCTTTGAATTCATACGCTTATATTACTCACCGCCTCCCTTGCGTCCACGCTTTGGAGTACCATCGGAAGCAGCGTTCGAACGACGCCATCGTGTACCGCCGCCACCACCAGTACCACGTTTACGTTTGCCTCGCGCACTATACGATTCATCGAAATCATTATCCGATTCAAAATCATCTTCAAAATCTTCATGATGATGATATGACATTTCCATGTCATCATGGAACCATTCTTTTTCAGCATTAGCATGAGAATCTTTGCTATCATTGTCACCAGATGCGCTCATAGAATTGCCATCGGCTGTTAAAGCTGGAAATAGGAGAAGGAAAAAATAAATAAAATTGATTTTAATCAAGGAAAAACTTATTAAAAATTTTACATTGTCCTAGATTTGAATTGTATTAAGTTTATAAAAATCACATATTTTAAACATCCTTTTTTAGGAAATAAAGATAATTAAGTAATATGTAAAAATAGCAGCAATTCTGAAACACGAGCCCAAAATCCTCAAAATAAAAAAAAATGCGAATACCATAATATGGAGGCTATATTATTTAACCATGGACACATATTGATAATTGTTGGTAAAATTTCCATGCAATTTGAAAAAAAAACACGTCAAAAATAAATAAAAATATAACAAAGAATATTGGGGATATGGGGCCTATACATAAACATGCACCGATATTGATAGTTTTTGGTTGTTGTTATAGCAGTTTATATGAATATATTTTTTTCCTGTTTAAATTCCATCTGGTCTGTCTCCAAAGACCTTCTGGAGTAAGATGGGTAGATTTGCAACCACAGACCTTCTGGAGTAAGATGGGTAGATTTGGCTGAGCAATTGAATAAGTGCAGTGTGATATGAGGGCCCGTACCACATGCTGGGCAGACATCATGCACATGGTCATCAATCCGTGCCCAATACGAATTGAGACGACTGCACAATCCTGAACGTAATCGGGCCAAAACTACTCTGGTTTGTCTGGGCAGCTGACGTTCTTCAGCTGCTATGGGTGTGAGCTCCGAGGACCCCATTCAATCTGTATCCGTTCAGCGCTGCGGCTACTGCATCAGTACGAATGCTATTCAGACCTGCTCTTTAGGCAACTTGATCTAGAGGCTCCCTTTTGTATCGTTGAACTCTCTCTCTCTCTAGATCATGCAGATCATTCCTGACTCGCCTGGGTGGGGGAGTTGTCATGAGAAGGCAACCTGTCGCAGTCCTCGGGGCATATGATGGCAGGGACTGCGAAAGCATATTGCTATGCTGACTTAGGGAAAGTGTGGCGTTCAGAGATGACGAAATCGGGCGGTCTGCTAATGGAGACGGTTATGGGGAGCCAAGGTCTGAGCCAAGAGAAATGACGGCGAAATCCAACGGCAACGGGTTCTACGATACCGGATTGACCCGACTCATATCGGCCAGCGGCTGCCACTCCAATTATATATATTTATAGGTATATATGTATATAATGATTTTTGGTAGTGATATCTGCAGCCAAAATGAAGAATTAGAATGTGAAACTATCATGCAAAGTGTCGTGGACCGAGCCCATATTTAAAATAACATCTGTACAAACTTGTCTCAATTTTCTATCAGAAAAATGTTGCAATTTATAAAGGAAGAACCTTGAACCGTTGATTTGTATATAAGGATATTTACCAATGTCGCCATGATAAGTATGAAATAGATAATGTTTAAAAAAATCAAAGAAAGGTGTAAAATCAAATCAAAGTTTGGAATCCCATAACTCCGCAAATATTTTTCCTCAAAATTGTCATGAGCAGCATCAGTATGCTGTGGTAAAAATTATAAAATAAATCTCTACAGAAAATTTCTTAAATACATTTTTTAACTTAAATTATTGGAAAATTTTAAAGATATGTCGCATAAAAAACAACCTATTCCTAAACATCGAAATCGACATAGTCATATTCATATTATGATGAACTTAATTGAACTCTTACATTGTGTTTTCTTCATGTTTATATTAACAATCACATAAATGTGTAACTGTAATATTGGCATTACAGCCAAGCATTTATATTCATCATCAGCAAAAGACAAGATGAATAAATAAAAGAAATAAAATACGTACCTATATGTAATATAAAATATAAATACAGACATACTTTTTTTGCAGCACACTCATGCCTGCCATGGAGGAGCATACTTTTTCCTCTTACCAATTATATAAAAGATACAGATTTTTTCCCTAAAGCAAATAAATTTCATTACAAATGGAGAAATAAAATAAAAAAGGATAAGGGGACAAGGCAAGCAAGCAATTGCAAAAACAAAGTACTTGTAAATGAGACAAAGACAACAACAACACTAATGATGCCATGAATTGCACAAGAAGTGTTTACTGCTTAGGTAGGGGTGGCAAACCCGTAAAGCACCACCCAACCATCCAACACAACAATCACACAAAAATACAATGAAAGCAGTAGCAGGTCCAAAGTAGGGTTGTTAATGAGAACAAACAAAACGTACTAATGAGTACTGCAGAAACGAACAAGAAAAAAAGAAACCCACATAGAATTTAGATATATTGATTATTCCCACTTTATTTTATCTTCTTTTGACTTTACCTGCATTTTCATTTTGATGATGATCCCTGGAAGCACCTGATCCACTATTCGATGAGTAATGATGATGATTGTGATGCGATTCACGATATTGATATGGACGATAGCTGTGGTGATGATTGTGCAAATATTGTCGTTTCGGTTTACGCCATCTCGACGAAGGATATGTATAGAGCTGACCTTCACGAAAACCAGGCATACGTTGTTTTTGTTTAACAAACAGGGCACAATGTGTCTGGGCCACACCAGTCTGTGGATCGAGAAAAGGCATCCGTAAGCGTCTTTCGATACATAGTCGGGTATTGTAGTTTTCGCTGTTCTCCAAAATCTCCTTGTAGGCGGAATCGTTGAGAAAGTTTTGGATTTTCTCAAAATTCGCAATATTAGCAATTTCAATTTCAGGGGCAGACATAATGCCCAATGTACCCGTTGTCCGCGACGACGTTCACTTTGTAAGGCCAACTACTGTGTGTTGTTGTGTAGGGTGAAAACACCAAACAGCCAGCTTCCTCCTCTTTGTTGTTGCAATGCACTTTAGTTTCTTCTTTTCGCGTTTATAATTTTCAGACAAAACAAACTCCCACAGAAAATTATTTTTTGCTCGGTTAAAATGTGAAAAAATAGATTTAAATTTTCAGTCAACACTTTTGAGAGTACAAAAACACACAAAGTTTTATTTATAGCAAACTTTTAGCTTAATTTTTATTCGATTTTGCATTTCGCTGCTGCTCTAAACAAGTTTTTTTTTTCAATTGACGCTATATTTCTGTAGATGACAATGTCAACGATAACAGATCATCCCCTGTTATCGATTTATGGTTATTGAAGGTGTAAAGTGACACGTCAATTTTAAACAAATCATATACACAATAGTTTCGTTCCGGATCAAGGTAATGCTGGACGATAGAAAAAATAGTAAAAACTTGCAGATTCCTGAAGTAAACAGCTGTAACTACTGTATGATCCCTGCACTCAATTTCATCTGTTTATTCTAAGAGATTCACCTCTAAAATTCAACGTTAAGTTCGTTTTTTATTATACCTGCGTGAAGTTAGCGATATCGCTAACTTTCGATAACAAAATTTTTATCGAAATTACAGGGTGACACAGAACATCACAATTTCACGTTTAATACTATTTTTATCAACAGTGCTTTCCAACAGAGATAGCGCAGAATATTATAAATTAATAATTTTTTAAAATTATTAATAAAAATGTTAACATAATTCATTAGTAATGAAAAAAAATAAACAATACGAACATTTTGAAACATATTTTATTATAATCTAAAACTAAATATTACTAAATCACAAAAATTTTAATCCAGTGAATCAGGAGAGAAGTCCGTCTCTGGAAGCCTCCCTATACAAACCTCGAACATAGTGATGGTACCAAATGAAAGAGGGAGTCTCTACGAGTATTTTGATATCCACCATATGTTCAGATTCAGTTTTTTGTAGAACAAAGTTGCTTAATTTCTGATTTCCAACTGGTGGTCAGGACACCAAACTGGCTCTGGAAGCCCCCCTATGCAAACCTCGAACAAAGTGATGGTACCAAATGAAAGAGGGAGTCTCTACGAGTATTTTGGTATGCACCATTTGTCCGAATTCAGTTTTTTGTAGAACAAAGTTGTTGAATTTCTGATTTCCAACTGGTGGTCAGGACACAAAAATGGCTCTGGAAGCCTCCCTATACAAACCTCGAACAAAGTGATGGTACCAAATGAAAGAGGGAGTCTCTGCGAGTATTTTGGTATCCACCATTTGTTCAAATTCAGTTTTTTGTAGAACAAAGTTCCTGAATTTCTGATTTCCAACTGGTGGTCAGGACACAAAAATGGCTCTGGAAGCCTCCCTATACAAACCTCGAACATAGTGATGGTACCAAATGAAAGAGGGAGTCTCTACGAGTATTTTGGTATGCACCATTTGTTCAAATTCAGTTTTTTGTAGAACAAAGTTGTTGAATTTCTGATTTCCAACTGGTGGTCAGGACACAAAAATGGCTCTGGAAGCCTCCCTATACAAACCTCGAACAAAGTGATGGTACCAAATGAAAGAGGGAGTCTCTACGAGTATTTTGGTATGCACCATTTGTTCAAATTCAGTTTTTTGTAGAACAAAGTTGTTGAATTTCTGATTTCCAACTGGTGGTCAGGACACAAAAATGGCTCTGGAAGCCTCCCTATACAAACCTCGAACAAAGTGATGGTACCAAATGAAAGAGGGAGTCTCTACGAGTATTTTGGTATCCACCATTTGTTCAAATTCAGTTTTTTGTAGAACAAATTTGTTGAATTTCTGATTTCCAACTGGTGGTCAGGACACAAAAATGGCTCTGGAAGCCTCCCTATACAAACCTCGAACATAGTGATGGTACCAAATGAAAGAGGGAGTCTCTACGAGTATTTTGGTATGCACCATTTGTTCAAATTCAGTTTTTTGTAGAACAAAGTTGTTGAATTTCTGATTTCCAACTGGTGGTCAGGACACAAAATGGCTCTGGAAGCCTCCCTATACAAACCTCGAACAAAGTGATGGTACCAAATGAAAGAGGGAGTCTCTACGAGTATTTTGGTATGCACCATTTGTTCAAATTCAGTTTTTTGTAGAACAAAGTTATTGAATGTCTGATTTCCAACTGGTGGTCAGGACACAAAAATGACTCTGGAAGCCTCCCTATACAAACCTCGAACATCGTGATGGTACCAAATGAAAGAGGGAGTCTCTACGAGTATTTTGGTATCCACCATATGTTCAGATTCAGTTTTTTGTAGAACAAAGTTGTTGAATTTCTGATTTCCAACTGGTGGTCAGGACACAAAAATGGCTCTGGAAGCCTCCCTATACAAACCTCGAACATAGTGATGGTACCAAATGAAAGAGGGAGTCTCTACGAGTATTTTGGTATCCACCATTTGTTCAAATTCAGTTTTTTGTAGAACAAAGTTGTTGAATTTCTGATTTCCAACTGGTGGTCAGGACACAAAAATGGCTCTGGAAGCCTCCCTATACAAACCTCGAACATAGTGATGGTACCAAATGAAAGAGGGAGTCTCTACGAGTATTTTGGTATGCACCATTTGTTCAAATTCAGTTTTTTGTAGAACAAAGTTGTTGAATTTCTGATTTCCAACTGGTGGTCAGGACACAAAAATGGCTCTGGAAGCCTCCCTATACAAACCTCGAACAAAGTGATGGTACCAAATGAAAGAGGGAGTCTCTACGAGTATTTTGGTATCCACCATTTGTTCAAATTCAGTTTTTTGTAGAACAAAGTTGTTGAATTTCTGATTTCCAACTGGTGCTCAGGACACAAAAATGACTCTGGAAGCCTCCCTATACAAACCTCGAACATAGTGATGGTACCAAATGAAAGAGGGAGTCTCTACGAGTATTTTGGTACCCACCATATGTTCAGATTCAGTTTTTTGTAGAACAAAGTGGCTTAATTTCTGATTTCCAACTGGTGGTCAGGACACCAAACTGGCTCTGGAAGCCTCCCTATACAAACCTCGAACAAAGTGATGGTACCAAATGAAAGAGGGAATCTTTACGGTGCTTTGTCGAAACTTAAGCCGATTTCTATCAAAGTTAAACAATACCTAAACTTGAACCGATCCATTAGGCCTATTCTGTAACTTTTAACAACATTCGATATTGTCTAATTTTCTTTTGTTATTGTAAAAACAACAAAACGAACAAATGAAATTGTTGTAAATAAACAATGTCGAATATTGTTAAAATGTTACTAATTATACTCTTCACCACACTGTGGTACTGGGTATTACGTCTTTGTGCATATGTTTGTAACAGGCAAAAGGAATCGAGATAGACCTATGGTTCCTTTTGAGAATATGTATAGAATCACTTTCACTCGATTTATGCATGTCCGTCCGTCCGTCTGTCCATGTTAATTTGTAAACAAAGTACAGGTCGCATTTATGATCCGATTTGGATGAAATTTGGCACAGCTTATTTATTTGGCCCAAGGACGACACTATTGAAATTGGTGAAAATCAGTTCAGATTTACATACACCTCGTATATATATTTTTGTCCGATTTTAAGTAAATAGTGCACTAAAGATCCATAGCTAAGCCGATAGACAAATAAATAAATCTCTGTCAAGTTTCCTTGAAATCGGTTCATATATATATATATATATATATAGCATAACTTCCATATATAATTTCGACCTATTCATGTTAATTGTACAATAAAAGGATGTCTGATTCAGATTAAATGGTAAACCGTGCAGCAATAGCGTATGCCAAGTTTATTTTAAATCGATATACAAAATTTAGCATAGGTTGATGATGTTTGTCGGTTTAGGTATAGATAAAGATCACAATTTGAGTTCGTTCAATTTCATGTCAATGTTCCTTCAAAAAGGCGATGTATGTTAGGATACATATGTAGAGTATAACCAAAATGGTGAAGGGTATCATATAAACGGCCCAGTCCGACTTTATTACTTTCCTCGCTGGTGTTTCTGTGCTTAGAGTATGTCAGATGGACGCAAATGTTTAAATCTACTCAAAATATCAATACTAGAGAAATTCTCATAAGTTACTAAGTCCAACTTGCTTCCCTTTAGATGTTACAAATGTTGAAGGAAAAAAGTCCATTAAATGTTGGGTTTTATTTGTCATATCCAATCCCTATTTATACGCATTTCAATAAATATATTGATTCAAATATATGTAAATAAGAAGATAATATATTGTATATTAATTATTACAGTTTTATAAAATATAATACATTTTTAAGTGTATATATATATACTACAACGAAATATGTACATTAATTATGTACATATATTATATACAAAATGTGAACCATTATTTTCTTAAATATATGTATATAAAAAACTATTTGAGTTGTTGCCACGCCACTTTCCAGTAATATTGAAGATGCCATATCAAATAAAATTTAGAATTTCCCGGACTTAATCCCACAAATTCTTGATGACGTCCACACTTTCTGAAAATATAAAAAATTAATTATTTGAATATTATCTAAATCATTAAATTATATCACAATATATTAATAATAAATTACACATGGGTTCCTATTCCACCAAAAATGTGTAATTACACATGAAGTGGCAACATTGACATCGAGTGTTTTTATGGGAAATAGTTAAATAGATTGTGTGGTTTCTGATTGTGTGTAAAAATGAGGAGCCTTTATATTCTTTAATACCTTCTGTGCAGCTAAACTCAAAAATGCCTAAATGTGCTGAGAAAATATACTATGGAGATTTATTTTAAACAGGTAGATCTGTTTCGGTTTAAGCTGCTTTCTGTATTTCGGTCGTCTAAAGTTTAGCGATAGCCCAATTTAATTAAATATGAGTAGTCGCTACAGTAATCATATGTTTAATAAAACTGGCATTTGTTACAATTTATTTTTATTTTTTATTATGCTTAAATTAGATTTAACAGCCTCTTAAAGGAGGTATTTTCTGAGTAGTTCTCTCCTGAG